GACTGAAAGGTCCCAGGTTCAATTCCGGTCAAGGGCATGTACCTTGGTTGTACCTTGGTTGCGGGCACATCCCTGGTAGGGGGGGTGCAAGAGGCAGCTGATCGATGATTCTCTCTCATCGATGTTTCTAATTCTCTATCCCTCTCTCTTCCTCTGTAAAAAAATTAATAAAATATATTAAAAAACAAAAACAAAAAAAACACCTGTCAAGACCATGAAAAACAAGGAACTCAGAAAATCTCACAGATTGAAGGAGCCAGTATGGGAACCTGGATTGGATCAGGAACAGAAAGAAGTGGTGAATGTAAAGTAAAACCATGTTCTAAGAGAATAAAAGCCCTTTTCAAAGGACCAACTTTGAAAAAATAAAAAAGGGACCAATTTTGAAAGAAAGGTGCATATGTGTGAGTGGGAGTGTTTGGTGGTGGTGGTGGTGGTGAGAGAAAAGGAACACAACAAACTGGGCAATGGAGAAAGAAGAGGCCGATGCTGGAGGACTTCCCACGTGATCTCATGGAATTATCCAAGATCACCTCCATTTACAGATGATGAACCTGAGGCCGAGGTTAAATCATCTGCCCAGAGTCGTGTGCTAGCAGGTGACACATTCAGAATCAGCACCCAGCTTTTTGGTCCCTAAGCCCATGCTCTTTAGAGTCCTGCCCCTGCCACCCGTACACCCACACTCACATCATTGTAGAGCCGGAAAGCCTTCTTCAGGTAGCCAACCCGCCCACAGCCCCCAATCAGCACCGTGTAGTTGCACTCAAGGGGCTGGAGTCGCTCCTCCTTCAGCATCTGCCTCTCAAACAGGTCCAGGGCCTCAACCAGCTGGGGGAGGAAGAAGGAAACAATGAAGGGAGTTCAGGGTGGCCTCAGAGACCCTCAGCAGAGAGAGGGAGCTTGAAATTGTGGGAACCTCCCTAGCCCAAGACCAGGCCTTCTCAGGAGCTAAACACCCGCCATGGGCCTCTGCACCAGCCTCTTGGTCCCTGTGCTCTGCAGCATGGGAGCTCTGTGCAGCCAGGAAGGAAAGCCCACTGGACTCCCACCACCTATGGAAACTCTGCACCCCGCTCCGACAGCCTCCTGAGATGGTGTAGGACGACAGCTTTGAGTGACCAGCTTCCTACAATTGCACACTCCCTTGGCCCACAGCTGTTTTTGGCCCAACCCCACCCCTAAGCCATTCCCCTTTAAATCCTTGGCTCACTCCTTTACTCCTTATTTTTTTTCCATCCATTATTTCAATCAGTAGTTACCAGTCCTCTATGCCAGGCAAGATCTATTTGCAGGGGATACAGCTGAGAACCAGAGGGAGCTCCCTCCTGTTCATCTTCTAGTTTGAAAAGACACCAAATGAGATAACCAAATGAGAAAAATATACAGTAGGTCGAGTGGTGACAGGTGCAATGGGCAAAAATGAAGCAGTAAGTGCCAGAGGGTGTTTGAGGTTCAGTTTAGATATGATAGCCAAGCAGGGCCTCAGCAGGTGACGGGTAAGCAAAGATCTGAAGGAGGCGAGGGAAGAAGCCCATGTCTATCTGGGAGAACAGCCAGAGCCTGGGAGTTGGAGGACTCAGTAGGTAAGTGGAGAGATAGAGGGGTGGTGGCGGCAGATCTTGCAGGCTTCATAAGCAGTTGTAAGGACTCTGCTTCTCTTTATTTCTCAACTTTTCATGACAAAAACTTTTAAAAGTACACAAAATGGAGAACAGTGTTAACTACAATGATTAACGTTTGGCCAATCCTATTTGATCTATACTCTGCACTCCCACTATAAACAGAATTTTTAAAAGCAAAGTCTAGACATCCTATCATTCCATTCATAAAATCTTCAATACATACCTGTAAGAGAACTTTATACATAAACAGAATGTCATTATTGATACCTAAGAAAGGAAACACCTTCAGTGTCGGTGAATGTATTAGGAGTTTTGGAGGGAGGAGTAACAGTAACTGCTTTCTGCTTCAACAGGACAGAGCTGGCATCCAGACAGGAGACGGAAAGAGTGGCGGGGAGACCTGTGACAGGTGTCAGGGGGCACAGAGAAGGCTAGGCTTCGGCGTTTAGCAGCAATGTTGTGAGAAGTGTTAGGATTAGCAACCTTCAGAAGTTAGAGCTGGGAGAGAAAGGGAAGCGTTAGAAATGACCTAAAGTCACTTTGCCTGGGCAGATGGAATAATGGGGCTGCCATTTAGTGAGATGAAGAAAGTGTAGGGAAAACAAGGTTGGGAATGAAAATTTCAGGTCAATGTGGGTAAGTGTAAGGGAGATGCTGAAGAGGTAGCTGGATACACGGATCAGGAGCCCACGAGAAAGCGGGGCTGCAGTGAGGAGGGGGCACTGAAAGCCAGGAGGCTGGTGGGTCACCTGGTACAGCAGCCAGGGTGAGTGAAGACCGAGAAGAAAAGAACCCTGAGCACCCAAACCTTTAGGGACTGAAAAGGGAGGGCAGGCCCTCACACAAAAAAAGCTACCAGGGAGGGAAGAGCCAGGAGCAGCAGAATCCAAAGGTTCCCTCACCTTCCCTTCCTTGATCAGGTGTTTGCACTGAAAGAAGTACCAGTAAGGGGTGTTTCTTCGGCCCTGCCACGATTTTGGCTCCGGTTCCCTTTCATCATCTTCTTCGTCTTGCTCCCTGAGCCGCAGGTTATACAACTGGGGCGTCGATTTGCGGAACATTCTCCGGGAGGAGTATTTATCCGAGAGAGTCCCAAAACTCTCTTCCGCCTCTTCCTGCTGGGTGGCCCTGGGGCTGGGCTGGCTTGGGTCAGAGCTAAGGCTGCGTGTGTTCTTCTGGCCCCCCGGGCTGAGGGGCAGCTGAGAGGGGGAGCTGCTGAAGGCTGCCTGTACCGACCCAGTCAGCCTCATGGACTTCAGCCACGCAGGCCCTTCCCTGCCTCCTGCCCACCGGCCTCTGAGAGGGCCAAGGTGTTGCAGGAGGGACAGTCCCGGGGGCCGGGGGCTGGAGAAGAGCCGGGCAAGTCTCATCAGGTCCATCTCTGGCTTTTACCTTCAGGGCCTGGCATAGATCAGAAAAATAATGAAGTCAACTCAGGTCCCTAACCCAAAAAGGCAGAAAGAAGACAGAGAAGTGGTTGATAAAATATTAACATTTTAGATACACTGGAATAAAGAAATTTTAACATTAATTTCACAGTTTCTTTTTCTTTTCTTTAATGTGGTTACTTGAACATTTAAAATTACATATGCGCTCACACTATATTGTTATTGGACAGTGCTAGGCAAGAGGTCCTGCTTTGCATACTTCAAACTCTTTCATAAAAAATATCAAAGCCCTAGTTGGTTTAGCTCAGTGGATAGAGCAACGGCCTGCGGACTCAGGGGTCCCAGGTTCCATTCCGGTCAGAGGCATGTGCCTTGGTTGCAGGCACATCCCCAGTGGGGAGTGTGCAGGAGGCGGCTGATCGATGTTTCTCTCTCATCGATGTTTCTAGCTCTCTATCCCTCTCCCTTCCTCTCTGTAAAAAATCAATAAAATATATATTTTTAAATAAATAAAGATATTTTTAAAAAATAATAATAACCAGTATGAAAAAATGTTAAGGTCTTATTTATCAGATGACACTGGAAAGACTTCGGAAGTGGTGGCAGACTGAACAGATTAATAACTGAGGCCCCGGAAGGGGGGTGGCTTGCTGGGGGCCTGAGGCAGTGCTGTGGGCCAGATTGGTCAGCTTCCCAACGGCTTAGAGCTCCCGGCTCAACCCTGGCTGCCACACTCACTGCCCCTCTGGCCTGTCCCGGCTGGGATCCCGGCTCCTGGAGGGTCAAATAGGACAACCTCTCTTGACCAGCACCCTAGTGACACTAGGACCTTTATCACTCCGTGTCTGGTGAGGCCTGAAACCCAATAAAAACAAATGTGAACCCATATGTAATTTTACATTTTTTCAAGTAGCCACATTAAATAAAGTGTTTACCTGCACGGAATGAGATATATTTTACAAAATGAGATATATTTTACTATATATATATATAGATAGATAGATAGATATCTCGAAATAGGTATCAAACGTTTTTCAAAACAAACTTATCTATAGTAGTATATATGCTTCTTTCCAACAATACTAAATAGCAAGATCCTGTCATGTCAAAGATGGAAATAACAGCATGTAGGTAGCAGTTGCAGATTCTCTCAGCATCACTGACACTCGTCCCCACTTGGAATCACAACTTAGTTTTGGGCACCGCTAACACTACCTTCTGGTCAGCTAGGGGGGGAAAGGCTGCTTCTCGCAGAGACCATAAAAGAGTGATTTTCTTCCCGCCCAAGTTCATTAGCCTGCCAGGCTAATCACTCCTGAGTTAGAGATACACTGCCTGCCGCTGTCCTCCCTCCTTGGACCCGACCCGCCCCCGGGGCCTCAGGCCACCCGGCCCCTCCACACAGGCCCTCAGACCCCGGGTTCCTCACCGGACGCCCCCGGCTCAACCCGGCCTGTTCCCGTCCGGATCCCGGGCTCCAGGTGAGGGTCAAGGAGGAACTCGCTCCGAGTCCGGCCCAAGGAACGCGGCCCAGGCTTCCGCGTCGACCCCGCGGGGACCCGCTTCCCGCCTGGTGTCTCTCAGCGTCGCGCACCCACTACCTACACCCACCCGCCGCCTCCCGCGCCCCGGAGCGCGCCCCGGCCCACCTCCGCCGGCACAGTCGGAGTCGCGAGCTCCTGACGCGTGCGTACAAGTTAGTCGGGAGTTCGGCTGGCAGCTAGTCGGGCCTAGCGGGGCGGCCCGTACATCGCGCTCGATTGCTCGGGTCTGAGCAGGCGCAGGGCCGGCGCGGGCTTCGAGCGCTCCCGGCATGCCTCGGGTGCTGGCGGCGGCGGCGGCGGCGGCGGAGGCGGAGGCGGCGGCGGCGGCCAGGTTAGGCGAGGCGGAGCGGAGGCGGCCCGTGTGCGCCGGCCGGCAGCGGGTGGAAGTGTGAGTGCGGCGCGGTACTGGAGGCAGCCGGGCCGGTGGGGCCGCCGCCGCCGCCATGCAGGAAATCATCGCCAGCGTGGACCACATCAAGTTCGACTTGGAGATCGCGGTGGAGCAGCAGCTCGGGGCGCAGCCGCTGCCCTTCCCCGGCATGGACAGTGAGCGTGGGGCCGGGGCCGGCGGGCGAGGGGCGCAACCGACTGGGGACTGGGACCCGTTCCCCTCGGTCCTGGGACTCGGACGCGGGAGCCCACCCTCCTCAGATCTTTGATCCCCTGGGGATAGTTTAAGATAATCTTCAGGAGGGCTAGATCGTATCCGGCTTTTCAAATAATTGTTCAATGAAGACGGGTATCCTTTTTCTTTCTTCTTAATATATTCTTATTGATTTCAGAGAGGAAGGGGGAGAGAGAGAGAGAAACTTCAACGATGAGAGAGGATCATTGATTGATTGCCTTCTGCAAGCCTCCTACTGGGGATTGAGGGGGATTGAGCCCATAACCGAGGCGTGTGCCCTTGACCGGAGTCGAACCTGGGACCCTTCAGTCTGCAGGCCGAGGCTCTATCCACTGAGCCAAACCAGCTAGGGCAAGGCGGGTATCCTTGTTTGAAAATCCTTCCCCCACAAACTCCCCAATTCCTGGAAAGTACATACAATCTCCTTCCCCCACCTCCTGCTCCCCGCTCCCTCCTCCCCCCTCACTGTGCTCTCCCTTTTGCTTTCATCAAAACTGGGCCATTGGAGTCTGGGAGACCACAGTTAGACTCTCAAGCTCCATTCTTCTCCTAGGACTCACTCCTGGGAGCCTATCCCTCAGTTCTTTTCTGGACTCCAACTCTGGGTCTTTCATCACACCTGGCAGGTGCCTGAGCTCCCTTTTCAGACTTTTTGAAAAGCAAACAAGTGACACCTCCAAGATCCCCAGTGCACTGCCTTAAGTCCGTCCTAGCAAAATCTGTCTGCAGCCAAGGAATCCCTTGCAAGTTACTAATAAGTAGAGGCGCAAAAGTGGCCCTCGGAGATGTTCTCTGTGGGTTTTCAGCAATTCTGAAATGCCTGCTGATACACAAAACTTTGTGAAACTAGGTTTATTCTGGTAGCCATGGCGGGTGAATTACTGGGCCCATTGGAACAGCTAACCCTGATCCCACTGACTTGCACCACGTGCACTCCACCTGTGTTCACTTGCTCCCTCACCTGCTCCTTTCATAATTGCCTTGGCATTGCAAATTAAGAGTAGTCCTGCTTTTTTTTTTTTTTTTTTTGTCTTCAGTTGTATGCTTTTCCCTCCCTAATAGCCTCTCTCTCTCTCACTGCTGTTCCTCCTCGGAGTCCCCATTCATGTATGTTTCTTGTGAGTTCACATTAAAGCGCTCGGAAATTAGCCCTCTGGAAGATCTAAGCACAGGGTAATTTCTGTGATCTTGTGCTCCATCCTTCCTTCACCCACTCACTCCCAAATCCTCGAAAGCATTTTTATTATAAGAGACTCTCAGCCTGTATAATGACTGGTCTTAACATATGTGTCTCATTTTGCATAACTAAAATAAGCAGCATTTTTCTTGCTTGTTTGGGCTTTGCCTTTTTTTTTTTTTTTTTTTTTTTTTTTTTTTGCCAGTCTATTTTCTGGATCATGAACATTTCATAGATCAAAGGCCAGTAGGTTTTCCTCTCCCTGTCTTCAGATGTCATCAGTAGCAATTGCACCTTGCTTTGTTGACCCTTCTCCTTCCCTCTCCTTTTTACAGAGTCCGGGGCTGCTGTCTGTGAATTCTTTTTGAAAGCTGCCTGTGGCAAAGGTAAGAGACCCCTGGCTCCTTGATGTTCCTCCTCAGGTGCCTTCTACCTTTCTATCCCCTAGCAGACTTGCAGGCCATCAGGTTTCTAGCTTTAATTGCTTTCTCAAGAATAACAGTGCCCCAGATGAAACTGTGGTTTGGATAGGCTAGGAACATGATGGGGTATTCTGCCTTAAACCTAAAATATGGCACTGAACCTGACTCTGAATCAGCTTTCTCACCTCACTTTCCCTGTGGCCACAAGCTGACCTATGACATAAATAGACTCCTAGCCCTGAGATGTTTAGAAACTTTCTCAAGTTTGTATGAAATGCATTTCTTCAGTTCTGTAGTTGATCTTTCTTAGGTATTGGGGCTAAAGATGCAGCCTGTGCTGGTAGTCCTCTTTACCGTCTATCTTTTAGGGCTGTGTTTCCCAAACACAGTTACTGAGTGGCTGAGCCCAGTATCTGAGCGCAGGCCTTTGTGATTCTACAATCTGTACAAGCTCTCTGTTCTCCATACCCTCTCATCAAAACAAAGACAAAAAAAAAACCCACACCCGACAATAGTCTGTCTCATGGAGTCTTATTCAGACTAACCAGGCCCCCACAGAGGCTCCATGAGCCAGATTATTCATAAGGAGAAGTATTGGCTGGAGATACTATACATAGGTCTGGCCATTTTTGTTTTTCTAGGCAAATTTATTTGGAAACTAAATTTGATCACAGCTTGAAAGGGAACACAGAATTAGAGCAAGATTGGTTTTAATGACTGATTTTGGCAAATTTTGGTTCTATAACTCAGTCATTTATCATTGAAACAATAGACCTATTGGTAGGTCAACCAGTTTGACCTCCAGCTTTCTGGTTGGAATCATCATCCCTGGGCTCCTAGGTTCATTCCCATGTCCGTGCTCAGTAATTCTGCCTTTCTGACCTGCCACCATCTGTTAGCAAGTTGTTGTCGTTAACATGGGCATTATGACTGTTTCATTGTTAACTAATACGGTAGCCACTAGCCACATGTGGCTATTCAAATTTAAATCAATTAAAATTAAATTAAGAATGCAGTTCCTTAATCATACTAGTCATATTTCAAGTGTTTAATAGCCACATGTGGCTACTGACTGCCATATTGGACAGCATAAATATAGAACTTCCATCATTGCAGAAAGTTCTGTTGGACAGGGCGGGTCCAGAAATTTCCCAGTCACAACCTCATTCTGGTCGGACCTTCCCAGTAGTCTTGCCAGGCCGCTACTTAGAAATAGGACCTTCTCAGGGTATGGCTTTGTCCGTCTATAAGGATGATCACTGCAGACGGCAGACCTCCCCCAGTTTGTATGCAATGTATTCCTTCAGTTCTGTAGCTGATTTTCTGAGTTATTGGAGGCTAAGTAGGTACTTTTAACTAAAGATGGAGCCCACCTAGAGTCCAGGCTTCTACTGGGGATCCTCTTTACCTTCTATCTTTTAGGCTAGAAGATAGTTTAAAATTGGGTTTCCCCCAAACCCAGGCTTTCTTAAACTAGCCGTACAATTTTTGCCATGTCCATGTATCACTGGCACTATTCTTTAATTAAATAAAGAAATAAACCTACCCCTCCCCCATACCACTGTTGATCTTGTCAAGCCTCCATATTACAGTACAATCTGTGAAATCATGATGTTTTAGTTAGATTTTATTAAAACACATTAAAATGAAAAACATAACTACTTAAACTTAAAAAGTGTACCCATGTACTGCCTAAAATCACATTGCCTTCTGCTAGAGGCAGCCACTACCTTCTGGGACATTCTAATTTTGGGGAGAAGGCGTCTTGTCTCCCCCAGGTCCAGTGCCCGGGCTCAGGGCTACATCTTTCTATCTTCCTCCACAGGGGGCATGTGCCCATTTCGCCACATTAGTGGTGAGAAGACGGTGGTGTGCAAACACTGGCTACGGGGGCTGTGCAAGAAGGGGGACCAGTGCGAGTTCCTCCATGAGTATGACATGACCAAGATGCCTGAGTGCTACTTCTACTCAAAGTTTGGTAAGATGTGGCCAGGCCGCTTCCTCCATCCAGAAACCCCCCAGCATCAGTAACCAAGACCCAGAGGAGTTAAGCAACTGCTCAGGCACTCCGGGTATATCTGCCATCCCCAGTCTGTCCAGCTTCAGTTGAGAACCTTAGGTATTGCTCTCCAACCCTCAGCTGGCCTGTTAGAAGTTAGAGTTATTCTCCAATAATCCTTACATCTGTGTAGTGTTTCTCTGTGTTTTTTTGTTTGCTTATTTTTTGTTAATTCTCACCAGAGGATATTTTCCCCCCCCTTCTTCTTCTTCTTTTGTCTAGAGTGGAAAAGAGGAAGAGAGGGAAGGAGAGAGAAATATTGATGTGAGAGAGACCTATCAGTTGGTTGCCTCCATGGCTGGGGATCAAACCTGCAACCCAGGTACATGCACTTGACCAGGAATCAAACCTGAGACCCTTTGGTGCGTGGGCTGGTGCTCTAACCAGTGAGTACATCAGCCCAGGCAGGGCTTCTGTTTTTTGAGCACTTCCAGGTAATTTGGGAATTTGAGACTAATGAGAGCCTCCCATTGGGTGGGTGAGAGTGCAGCTGGCCAGAGGCCTTGTTTCTGTTCAAGTCTGCCTTCTCCCTTAAATCAGCTTCTTATTGTGTGGCAACTGACTGCCCCCCGAGTTTCCTTCTCTCTGAGCATGTGATCCCAGGAGAAACGTGTCGGTCCTAAATGCCCCTGAAGAATAGCAAGTTTGCGGAGCTGTATTCTAGTAGCAAAGAGCCCTACTCTTCAGCTTGAAACAGAGATTGACTTGATCCCTGCTTGGAGAACACGTGGCCTAAGTTGTCCTGAGTGACCTGCATGGAGAAGTGGGGACAGCCTGAGGGCAGTGGGGCTGGCACAGGGCTTGGCCAAGCTGTTGTGCTCTCTGGTGAGGTTCACTAGGAAAAATACTTGTTGGGCAGGACAAGGGCTAGCTCTGGCCTCAGGACTGCCCACCCCAGGCCCTGTACGGAGGCCTGGTGGGAGACTGGAAGTCTGCTGTACCTGCTGCACGCTTTCAAAGCACTATTGTCAGAGGAGACGCTAATTATTACAGCAGCCCAACAGGCTTGGCCTGCTGGCTTATTAATTAGAGTTATGGCTTCTCTTTTTTTCTTTTCTTTTTTTTTTTTTCTTTTTTTTGAGAGGCAACACAAACTAAAAAGTCATAACATAGACAAACAGAAATGGGACTCTGTCTTCCAAGCTTCCCACCCTCCCCTGGAGCTATCACTGAAAGAAAGCAGTGGCTTCTCAATGGGAACCTTCTTTCATCTGACCCCAAAGGCATACTCAGGGCCGAGGGTGCCTCTGCAGGCTCACCTGAGTCCCCTACTTCTCTGCTGTGGCCATGGGCGTAGCGCCCCCCTTTCCCCCTCCGCCTCTGGGAAAAATCCCTGCCTGCTATTCCCCTGCAGATCCTGACCTGGTATAAGCATACTGTCTGCAGCTCCTGTCACCTGTAACACAGGTGAGGGTCTCCTGCTAGGCCTTGAAGAGACAGTGATGAAGAAGACAGGCCCTTCCCTGCCCCATGGGAAAGAGGCAGCTGATATGTCAGTGGCACAAGAGAATTGTGCACAATAAGTGCTCTGAAGGGAATAAACAGTGATGGAATCACATGAGGAATCTCCTTTAGATAGAAAGCTCAGGAAGGCCTGACCATAGGAGGTGAGACCTGAGCTGGGATCTGAACACTAAGCAGGGGCCAATCCTGGCAGAAAAGTGTCTCAGAACAGCTGGGGGCTGTTGTGGCTGGAGGGGAGGAGGAAACGTGGGGGATGAGCTAGACGATGTAGGAAATCGGTGGGTCTGGGAAGGAGTTTGTTTTTTCAGATGGGCATTTTATGTGTGACAGGTTGGAAAGGAAGAGCAAGCACGGAGGTGGCTGGACTGTAGCTGCGTGAAAGATGCTAGTGGCAGCTGGGCTGGTTGCTCCTGAGATAGCTCCTCTCAGAAAGGCTTCGTTGCCTTCTACCACAGGGACCCAACCTGAATTCCAAAATCTTCCCTGCTTTGTTCTAAATAGTAGACTCCTTAGACCTTTCCCTTGTCCCACCTAGTACATGTGAAAAGCTGATCCAAGTAGAACAATAATTTCCTGGCCTCAACTGGTATGTTTGCATACCTGGGCACACCACAGTCCCAGGACTCCATCTTTGGTAAGGGATGGAGCCACGAGTTATCTAATGAGAGTGTGTATACCTTGTACCCAGCTCTGTCCGTGTCATTGACCCTGGTGACAGCATGGACACGTGTGCGGGGAGAACCTTCACAGCACACAGGTCAGAAAACCGAGGCCCTGAGGCACTCTATCGAGTCTCAGGGTTCGCCGGGCCAGGACTACACACCAGAACCACCTGGCACTCTGCCACACGCTGGGCCCTGGCCTCAGGAGAAACCAGGGTGGGTCTGGGTCCAGCTCTCCCAGGGCTGGCTCGGGTGGACTCATGTGTGTTTCCCTGCAGGGGAGTGCAGCAACAAGGAGTGCCCCTTCCTGCACATCGACCCCGAGTCCAAGATCAAGGACTGCCCTTGGTACGATCGTGGCTTCTGCAAGCACGGTAGGTGTCAGGGTGGCTGGGCCCCCTGCTAAGAGGCCAGTCTTCTCTGCCCACATGACCTTCTATCTGTCCTGCCTACTCCAGCAAAACATGGTGTTAGACATTTGGGGGCTAGTGAGGCTTTTTCACACTGAGCCTCTCAAGGCTCCTGTGTGGGCTGCATTCTCTTCTGCATTTTCAATAAGGAAACTAGTGTTTGAGGGGTTGTGTGTCCTGCCCACTGTCCCTATGAATAAGTGGCAAAGCCAGTATCTGTCAGTGGTCTGGGCAGGGCTCTGACTGGCAGTGGGCACGAGAGCATCCCCTAAAGAGGGGGTGGTCTGAGTACTTGATGCTGGCTCCACAGGTCCCCTGTGTAGGCACCGGCACACGCGGAGAGTCATCTGTGTGAATTACCTCGTGGGATTCTGCCCGGAGGGGCCCTCGTGTAAATTCATGCAGTGAGTAGCCAGCTCCTACCCCCCAATTCCCACACTACTCTTGCCTCAGGCCCTGCTGCCCTCTACATCTTTCCTGGGGTCAGTTGGGCGCTGGTCACTGGGTGGTGGTAGCACATTGCCTGGGCAGGGATGGGAGGTTGGTGGGGACCCCAGCTGCTTCCTGAGCTGAGGTGGCTGACTACACCAGCACTTAACCTTTTTGGACACAGCCATCAGGGAATCTGATGAAAACTATGGGCCCTGAGTTCCAGAGAAACTCACGCACACATATTTTTAGGGCCCTCAGGTTAAAAACTTGTGCCGTAAAGGAAGGGTACTATAATGTGAGGGCCTCCTATATGAATTACTGAGCTGGGGTTTCACTTACACCAGTTCATGTAACTCTCACAAGTACGAAAGAGAACGTCCTTTTTCACACATGAGGACACAGGCAGCTCAGCCACTGGCCAGGGTCACATGGTAGGAGGTGGCGCTGCTCAGAGGCAGGTCTGCAGGCCTCCAAAGCCAGGTTCTTGCCCAGCAGGGCTCAGTACTCCTAGGCCTCAGTGCACCATCTCTTGGGTGGTTGAGGGGATAGGATGGCACTAGAACCACAGGTTAGTCTTCCCCTCCTGTGCTGCCTGCATCCACACTGCTGACACGTGTACAGGAGCACAGTGTCCTGATTGCTGCCACACGGTGAGTAAGTGACTTGGTCCCGCTCCCTAGATGAAAGCCCAGGAGCCCACAGGTGGCCCAGGGGTTCCTGTTTGTGGGGCAGGCAGATGCGTCCTCCTGGGCACTTGGGTGGGATCCTGCAGGGAAGGGTGTGTATTGGAAGGAGCTCCCATGCTCAAAGCCCCTCATGGAGCAGGCTCATGCCTTCTGATGTTACCAACGGCTGTTCCTTCATTCCTCTGAGCAGCACCTTCCCCAGGTCTCAGCCAGTGATAAGCAGAGCTGGGTATGAGCCCAGGCATGTTAGTTCTGTTCTTCCCGCTGTCCTGTGGCTTCACAGGCAGAGCTGAGAGATCCACCCTAAGTCCAGTTGGTTCGTTTTCTGTACGTGGGTAGAGCCTGGCCATGAAATTCCCTGGGCCAGAATTTGAGAATACCGCCTAGCCTAGCTCCTCTTTCATCTCTTCTTCTCTTGTTTTCGTCTCCTCTGGTTGTTGTCACCAGCCCTCGATTTGAACTGCCAATGGGAACCACCGAGCAGCCTCCACTGCCCCAGCAGACGCAGCCTCCGACAAAGGTACCGTGTTCTGGCCCTTCCTCGGCCTTATGGCACTGCTGGCGCTGGCAGTGCCCTTGCAATAGAGTACTCAGTGCCTGCATCAATGCCTGGTCTGTCATAGCCCCAGCTGGAGTCCTGGGAGAGGGCTCAGGAGGAGGCAAGACCGTCATCCTGAGTTCCAGCAGAAAATTCAGGGCGCTGAGCAGTTTGTCATCTGCCTTTAGACATGGAGGGCTGTCTGCTGGAGCTGAATGCCCACTTGGTTTCTCTTCCCTTGCCTGGCGAGTGCTCTGAGCCCACCTTGGAGCCAGAGTGGAAGGTAGCAGGAGCTCCAGTCTCTACGGCTCTTACTTCTGGTTCACACCCTTTCCTTTACAAATGAGAAACTGACACTCCCAGAGGGAGGGGCTTGCCTGAGGTGCCACTGCTGGGCAGGAGCAGATCTGGAAACAAAACCAAGGCTGGCTAGTTCTCTGGCCAGTGCTGTGATCACTCTGTGTGGATTTCCCCAACTTCGGGGAATGCTGGGAACAGAAAGCTGAAGGACCAGCTGGCACCCATTTTCTAGACAAGGAGTCCTACAACCCAGCAGTTGGCCAATTCCCCTCAATCAGGAGGAAAGGGGAAATGCCATGGACAAATGGGAATCAGCAGCAGCCCCCCTCTAACTCCCCAGCAAGGGCATCCTGGGTTTGGTTACTGGAGTGGGGGATTGGAAACCCAGAGGAAGGGCTGGCTACTGCACTAGGCAGGGTCTCAACATGCTGAATAAACCCACCCATGGACCTTGAGCCTTACCTCTTACCTGGCTGGACTTTGAACCTGTTGCCAAAGCCCCACCAGGCCTTCCTCACTGCTAGATCTGAGTAGCCGGAAGAAATGTCCGCACTTGCTATACTGACTGCTCCCATCCTCAGGAGATTATGGGGCATCATAGAATTCCTTGTTAGCAAAGTTGGGAATTATTGAGTGCTGGTGCAGCCGTGACAACCTGGGTCCCTGTGTTTTTGGAGGCTGGAGCCAGAAACCACCTGGTTGGGAGGTAGCCTTGCTATCCAGTCCCACCCCAGGAGTCCCCATCCCCCTTGTTCACGTGACTCCCTAGTGGAGGGCCCTCTCAGTCCCTAGACCGCAGTTCAGCACGTCAGCCTCCAACTGTTTTTCTGTGACTGTTGCTCGCCGTGTAGGCTGCTAAACATCTGGCTGAACCAAGCGTTCATCCTGACCTGAAGCTAGAACCTCAGAAACAAAAGTAAGGCCTGCTCATGCCCTCGCCCCACTGCCCCAGAGACCTCCTTGTCTCTTTGGTGTTTTGTTTTCTACTTTTATTTTTCGTTTATGTGTGTCTGCATGGTATTTTTCGGGCAGCCGCTCCTGCCATCACCACCAGATGTTTCTATTCTGCCTGCTCTCCTGAGAGGGGCCACCTCAGAAGCTCTCCTTCCTGTTGGTCATGCGGGAGTAGTCCCGCCCTCTTTTTTCTGTCCCCATTGGTAGTTTGCGTGCACGTGTTTTCTGCAGTAAAACCGTGTTGTGTAACTCTTTCCAGCAAAGTAACAATCCGCCATTACAAAGGTCGTCCTCCTTGATCCAGTTAACGAGTCAGAACTCTTCTCCCAATCAGCAGAGAGCCCCGCAGGTCATCGGGGTCATGCAGAGTCAAAACAGCAGTGCAGGCAACCGGGGACCCCGCCCGTTGGAGCAGGTCACCTGTTACAAGGTGAGTCTTGGGTTGGGGGGGGGGGGGTCTTCACAGTCAGTGCCTGTTCCCTCACTCTCCAAAGTTAATTTTGAAAAATGAAGTCTTTGTGTTTGCTAATTGTAACAGTAAAAAGTGAGCCATTATGGTGGGCTAAAGGCCATCCCACTTTCTTCTACAACACACCAAGGCCAGGTGAATGATTAAACACACGATGAATGGAGTGTACATTCAAAAAAGGGAGGAAATCTGTCAGGCTAGGGATAAAGTGGAAGCATGAATCCAGGGACAAGTGAGCCCTGAAGCCTCTGGTTGTCCTCAGATCCTTCGTGGGCACACTGAAGGAAAGGTTCAAAGCTTTAGGCCCTTCTCACCCCTTACACATACACACAGTAAGGCACTCAGGGAAGAGTAAACTTTTTACAGCTCCACTAGGAAACGTGTGGGTTATTCTTGGCTCTTGATGGAAAGGGATGAGGGGAGTCCCTTGAGTTTATAGTCACTGGCAAATCCTTCCATGAGTTTGGGCCTGTATTTATGCCCTTGGTGAGGGCTAAAAAGCTAATTTTCTCATCTAAAACAGCCCAGATGGGTTCCTGGAGTCTGGCTCTTCGATGAATTTATTCTCAACCCATATCACACAGAATTCCCATAGCTAGAGTTCCGAAGAATGAGTACACAATTAAAAATCACAAAACATAGAAGGAAATAAGCACCACCAAGTGAATCAGAAACAATAACAGAACTAGACTTACAAAGACTTCAGATTGGGAACTGTTAGAAGAAATACAAAGTTAGTCCATGCTTTTAAAAATAAAAAATTTATTGATGATATAGAAGTATTTAAGATACAAAGTAAGTTTTGTCCCTTATTCCCACCTTTTCTAAAACGGCCACTTTATTCATTGTATTCTGTTCTCATGCTTTTTGGATTCCAAAATCTCTAAGGGGGACCCCAACTTGGAGAACTGCCCTTCTAAACTTTTATTCACAGAAACACAAGGATGGTATGTATTTTAATATAAATGGGGCTCTAGTATGTATAGAATTCTATACTTTTTTCTTTGCAATATACTATAGATCTATCAGTGTATGTAAATCTAATCTTTTTTAGTGACTATATCATCACATTTTATTTTACCAGTTCTCTGTTAGTAGACAGTTAAAGTCATAATTTTTACTGCTAAAAATAGTACTAAATCTAATACTTAGACATTTGTGAGCTCTTGTCTGATGTCAGTAGCATCTGTACCTGCAATTAGAGGGGCTGAGTCAAAAGGCATATATTTAACATGTTCATAGAATAGCCAATCCACTGGACACTTCCCACAGCCATCGCTCGCTGAGCACCTCTGTGCCAGCTCTGCTGAGGAAATAGACTGTTGCTGCTACTCTATCCTGGGAGGGGTTTTTGTTCTCGGGAAGGTCAAAGACACTAAAGTTAAAAGTGTACATCGATTCAGGGAAGGCCTCAGATTTCTAAGCCTAAGCCATAACAGGTGAGGAAAGTAGAGGAATGAGGAGGTGATATCTGTCTTGTGCAGAACAGCTTCCAACCAGTCCTCAAGTACATCTTGCCTCCCTGTAGGACTCTTCAGCAGGGCTTCTGTGAAGCAAACTCTCCTAAGTCCTGGAACCTCAGAAAGCTGGGGTGAGGATCTGCCAACCTCTTCTTACCAGGGGCACTTTACAGTTAATATTAAAGATGCCTTGTGGGAATCCTGGACTCCTCAGCTGTGGAGGCTGAAGGACATGCCAAGTGCCATGAATGGGCCCACACAGTCCCTCCCTCTGGTCATCACATCAACCAAAGGACTAACTGGCAGCTCCACAGGCCACTTGTCCACACAGGTCACATGTACAGGTAAAGACTTGAAAACATGAAGACAGCAGGCTTGGGAGTAGAGCAGCCAAGAGTTCTAGGCAGTGGTGACCAATTAGAGCCCCCACTCCAGGAAGTGCCAAGGAAGCAGGGATTGGGAGGGCACTGAATGGGTTAGTGCAGAGTGGGTGCCCCTACCACCTCCAGACCCCTTTGTTTGGTGCTTGAGGATACCATTTGCTTCCTTTCTTAGAATTCTGCTTTTTGAGGAGCAACAAGGTTGAATGAAGTAAAACTAAGCCAGGTACTGGATAATGAGCAGGACAAATCAGGGTCCAGGTTAGATTTTTTAGGTGATTTTATCGGGTCTATTCTACCAAGTCTAACCATTTTGTCCCATCTCTGCTCCAGTGACCGAAACCTGTCCTCAGGGATAGCTTAGGCAGGTGTGCGAGAAGCAAAAGGGGAAATCTAAGCCCACACAATGTCCACAGCAATGAGTCCCCCCTGCATTGGGGGAGGAGCCTGTAGCTTCTCCTTGTTCCATCCCATTGCCAGGCAGTCCCAGAATGGTGCCTCACAGGTAGGTGGTCAGCCATATAGAGGCTTCATTCCTGGGCGGCTGGAGGAGCTCTGGTGCCGTGGGCTTCCTACCTCCTTAAGAGCCCTTCTGTGGGCAGGTCCCACGTGCCCAGCTGGCTGAAGGAGCTCACTACTGTGTGCTCTCAGATCATCCTTTGGCTGCAGGGGTCTCTCCCATTTGACAAGTTTTTGGCTGCAGTTTCTATACCACCTTATTTTCTGTAGCTTTCCCCTTATATTTCAGTGAAACTACCACTGAGAATTTCAGAGTCCCTTTTCCCAACTTGGTATTTGATGAGTGCCACCTTAGTTGAAAACTGCATTTGAAAATTATGTCTTTGTTTTTTTTTGTCTTCTTTCCTTCCTGCTGTTCCCAGTGTGGTGAAAAAGGACACTATGCCAACAGATGCACCAAAGGGCACTTGGCCTTTCTCAGTGGACAGTGACAACAGCTGGAGACAGCTCAGGACAGCCCAAAGGGCCCCATTTCGGGCCACTCTGGGCCATCCTTGGGATTGTGCATTTAACTGTTCAATGCCAGTGTTAGTTTAACTCTGGCTGGAGCTGGTAGGCAAGCACACTGGCATTTATCAGTCTGAGGGACAACATCTGTCAGTTTCCCTACCATTTTGCTGTAGTCTCTCTTAAAAAGGGAACATGTACTCCAGTTCTGTCCCTCAAATCAGCATCATGTGTTTAGGCATCAACATCTGTCTGGGACTTCCTGAACACTGCCCTCTGGAGAGAGGAGGAAGTTTTGGGTAAGAGCTTATGCAGGCAGTTCTATATGAAAGACGGCCCTTCCCCTTGGGCCTCATTAAACACCAGTTCTTGGCGAACCCAGGGACTGGTGGGTCCTTAAAACAGGCTAGGTCATGCCTGCTTCCTCCATGTCCTGCTGAATTCAGAAACTGTGCCTATCAATGTGATTTGAACGAGGCAGCCCTTCAGGGCAAACTCAAGTGGGCTTGTTGCCTCAGCCTGGTCCTGTTCCAGGTGGTAGTGATTGAGGAGGTGTGAGGGTCTTTTTCCTCTAGGCTTATTTTCTTGGGGCACATGCTTAACCTTAACAGTGTTTAAGGTATACCTGAAGCTGAGCTACATGCTGCCCTGTAAAAAGATGACGTGATCCACCTGTGCACCTACCTCCTGCCCCATCAAGCATCTGTACTGTCACTCAGACACCTTTTGGCCTATGGAGACCATCTTAAGCCTGGAAATGTGAAACCATCACCTGGAACTTGCTGGGCAAGGGGACCTTATCCAAGTTCAATTATAAGAACAATTTTTATGAGGTTGATTAAAGCTCGTTTTTTAAGTTGTGTCTCATTGCTTCAGACTCCATGCCAAGGAGGGGGATCTTGCTTTTGGCTGCACTAGCTGTCTGGTACAAAGCTTTGACATTGTTGCCTGCTTATCCCCTTTCAACAAATGACTTCAAAGTGAAGTGATAATGCCTGTGAAAGGTCTTTTTACTGGTAGGTCTCCATCTCAAATGTTGGATGATGTTTATTCAAATTCAGGTCGAGAAGAAAAATGGGCCACAGCATCTCACCCCTTATACTCCATGCAGTATATAGGCCCACATACACCCCTTAGCAAGAAGCTATTCTGGCCTTCACATCGTTTTACTGAGGCCTTTGATGAAGGTAAAGAAAGGTGCTGGATATGGGCTCTCGGGGCCTGTGCTTTCCTCTGTTAGATCATCCCACTAAGCTTCCATCAGGCACACACCAGGAGTGATACAGAATGATGGTGGGGAAGGCATTCTTCAGCATACAGGACTTTGCTTTATACTATAGCATTGGGTGACAAAAAAGCCAAAAGTGCCGAAACTGATTTGGCTCAATGGATAGAGCGTCAGTCTGCGTAAAGGTCCCAGGTTCGATTCCTGTCAAGGGCATGTACATTGGTTGTGGGTACATCCCCAGTAGGGGGTGCGCAGGAGGCAGCTGATCGATGTTTCTGGCTCTCTATTCCTCTCCCTTCCTCTCTGTAAAAAATCAATAAAATATATTTTTTTAAAAAGCCAAAAGTGCACAGGACACACAAGACAGAGCAGGAAAACACTTGAAAGGGTACTGCTAAATGACCCCCCTTATCAGCTGGGGCAAAATCGCAGTGGTGTGATTGAAATGGTTTGTCTGCATGATTTGATGCCTTGGGCTGACAGTCCCTCTTTAGGAGTGGTAAGGCAGTCTTGTGCTACCTTGTGCAAGGGACCCGAAGTGAGGAGAAATGTCCAAACCAGTGAAGCAGCCCAGTACCAGCCACCTTTTATTAGGTGTTACGTTACAATATGAAAGGATTCAGAGGTGCTGGGCAAAGGTCATGGACAGGAATGTGGAGTCCACACGGCCCTCTTCAGTGGTACTTGCGTCGTCGCTCATGTTCTGAAGTTAGAAAGACAAAAGTAAATTTCTTAAAGGGTATAGGGAAAGCACGAGAGGGAAAGCATTGGGCTAAAATCAAAGCCATCCTGAGAATTCCTTTCAGAAAATAACCTAGAACCTGCCTGTTAGGGTCTCAGTGGAATTGCTGACCTGAGGACATGAAGGCATCTCAGGTGCTCATCTTCCTGGCCAGCCTCTGCCCAGAAGAACACCCACTCAGATAAATAGCCCCCAAGAACCTGTCCATTCCTTTGGAGCTAGCATCACCCCAGATGCCACACTCTCAGAAACAGCCATGAAACCCAGTCACCAATGACACTTTCTGGCATCTCCCATAGGACAAGCTCCTCTTAGGTCTCAGAACCAGGAATAGCTACACTTCTCCAGAGCACTGCCCAAACAGATTGTACCACTCAACTTCCCTCTACATGGGCTTAGGCTAGGAAAATTAAGCCAAATTTTCTATCAACCTTTGGCAGAGCATGCAGTATCTTACAGAATGCTTCCTAAATATTACCTGAACCCCAGTTTCATCTTATTTTTCAGTGTATTTTCTCTTTGTCCAATTTTCTCAATATCCTAAAAACTATATTCTCACAAAGTCCCTTCAATTCTTCAGCTGTTGATAGAATAATGGACTTCTAGATCTGACAGTGAGCCAATGCTACCCTCATGGAAACCCACTGTAGGCAATGTAACCAAAGACACTTACTTAGCTCATGATAAGAACGGATGTAGTTGAAAAGCACATACGCTGCCAGCACCATAGAAACCCCAGCAACGCCCCCTTTCTTCACATCGATGTACTTGTTGTAATACCTGTAGTAACCTGCAAACAGAAGAGAAGATCATTGCTTTGCTATGACTGCTTCATGCAGTGCAAAATCGAGTCTGGCTTAATTCAGGGATCCAGTCCTGCTCTGGCTCTTTAAGCCAGTGACCCTACATTCTTGGGTCAATAAAGGGAAAAACTTAAATGCCCTACTCTCACCCCATGAGCCCAGGAGAAACTCCAGGTAGGCCCACCTTAATTCTGCCCCTACCCTGTGGCCCTGATCTTACAGATTTGGTTCAGCCTGTCAGCCTTTGATCCTATCTCACCCTCACCGCCAGCCTGGAACACCTTACCCTAATTCTGACTGAGAATCCAATCCCCAGTAAGGGCCACTCAGGGAATAAGGCTTCGTGCGTTTCTTTTTATTAGGTACTCCATCAGTAAGGGGACAAACCATATCTGCCTCCTTGGGGCTCGTGGCCTACTAGATAGAAAAAGACTGATCATAGAAGGCCACAGTTTATAACAGTGAGGGACACTGAAGGAGCACTGCAGGGAGCTGTGAGCATGAACAGGACAGTCACCTCCATGGGGTCGGGGACTACTGTAACTATAGGGAAAAGGTAGACTATTCTAATCTGAGGGCAAAATTGAGGAAAGATGGCACATAAAAGACAGCCATAGGGAAGAAGTCAGTATTAAAAAAAACAAACAAACAAAAAAAACAGAGGGAAGCCCCTGAAAAGCTGGAGCCCATGCATAATGTGGGTCTTTAGTCTTGGAACATGACATGGGTTCCACCGGACTAATCTGACTAGCTGTGCATTTTAAAATGCACAAACATGAAGGACAGACCATTTCAAATATTCATCATGGAAGTTTCGCTTGGCAGGAAGATGAGCATTATACTTTAGACTGATGTCCACTATGCTTCACTCACTTTTTTCTTAAATAAGTCTAATCATGTGAAAATGCTCATAGACATTTCTCTAAGATGAAGGCAATGGTACTGATCCCAAGCAATAGAAAATGTTTTCTTGGCTGAAATATCTCAGAGCCAGTCTTTGACATGACCAAACATGAAGTTCAAAAGCTAACAACTTCTCCCTGTCATCTACATAACTAACTGGTCTGAGACAAGGCCTTTACCACCCAAATTAATTCAGGAAAAAGAAATCTGAAGAACCAGAGATTTGCTTTTGTTTACACATATCTAAAAGGCTCTGACCTCTTTGAAATGCTCCAGCAATGCCTTTAGGGGAGAAATCCCGCATCCGTATCCAAGTTGGCAGCTCCCCTAATTTGACATCCATCAGTCTCTTGTCCTTCAATGGCACTGATTAGGAAAAGCAAAAATACATACTGAAAAATCTCCAAATAATACAAATAGCATTCAATAAAGAGATACTTTATAAAATTACTACATAGAGGTTAGACTGGACATAAGTAATATTATGAATAAATATGTTACACCAAATTCACTATTTTAAGCCAGAGTCCATATAATGGCAGAATTGCATAGTGACAGGTTTATTAATAAACAGGATTTTGAATAACAGATTGCTGGGAATAACTATGTAAAAAGAGAACGAAGGGCCCCGAGGATAAAGTAGTAGTGGACAGAATAGAAAGATTATTGCAAAACTAATATTTACATATTTTAGCTCACTTAATCTTTGAAACAAGTACTTGATGCCTTAATTTATAAGGTTGGGGGTGGGGGTGGAGATGTGGGGAGTAACTCAGAAAAGTTGGCCAAAGTCACACAGCATGCAGGCAGTGGAGGCAGGACTCAACCTCAGTTCTGGTCCCCCTACTCCTGAAACCAGTTTGATTTCTACTACAAGTATCCTACCTGAGACCACAGATATCAAATGATAATAAAAACCATTCCAAATGATCCAACAGGCCCCAGATTATATTCTAATGAGAGTCTGAAGACTGGACAGGAAGGGTTTCTATAGTTCCATTCTATACTCATCTGTGAGCTTAAAAGTAAAATAGGGGACTTGGGAGGGGGGTGGTGTGGAACTGTGAGTGTTCAAATGCTCATGAGGGAATGATTTCCCTTCCCCCATGCTCCTCCAGAGGTCAACTTTATTATTTTTTATTTTTACTTTTGTCTGCAAGAGGACAAGGACAGTGGGTTACAACTGCCATCCCAGTGAGGTTACCTACCGCCCCTTCTCTCCCAGTGCTCTGGCTGGGACAATCATTTGCAGAGTTATCATCAGCCCAGTGAGGGAATCCACGTGGGCCCCAACTCCCAACTCATGGACAGGCAAATGCAGTGAGCGAAACTCTAGCAGCCCACCAGGCCCAAACTGATCAAGCCCCTCCTGATCCTGAAGTGCTCTGCTTGTCTCAGGGTCCTTATAGTGTGGGTGCTCATGTGTGAGGTGGCTCCGACTGCCCACTCAGGGCCACAGGGAGCTCACAGCAGCATATGGTTCTTAGCTGGGGATTTGCACCACCTGCCCAAGGACGGTTGCTAAGAAGCCACCAGCCTAGCCCTGTGAACACATTTTCAGGCAGGAGACCCTGTGCCAGGCAGTCCCACCCACCACACTCAGCCCCCAGAACAGCTTCATCAAAGTGCTTAGGATCTCGCCTGAGGTCCCCAACTGTAAGCCCAGACACAGGTCAGACTGCTGCACACATGGAACACAAATGCATGCCGGCCAGGCGCGCTAGGACTGTCAGGCTAAACCATTCTTAGTGCCCACTGTTCTGAGCAGAGTGTAGAAACAGCCACTTCCTCTGTCTGGCCCCGATGTCTGTGGTGCCAGCAGATCCAGCACCTGCAGGGCAGCCAGAGATCAAGTCTAAAAAACTGCCTTCGGAGCAAGGCGTCAAGGACTAAAACTCCTTCTGAATGACCAGCCACAGAAGCCACACTAAATCACGCCAAAGTTTCTTTTCCATTTTGGGATCCAAGGAAAGATGAATGCTCCCTGAAGGCCAGCCTCAGGAGTCCACTGAGGGAATCCCACAGGTTTCCTAACATCTCCCAACCCTTAACAAGGGCAAGGGCTGTCAGGCCATACAGAGAAATGCAAGGCTTAACGGCAGCTTTCAGATCTGCTACAGGTCGTCTGGAGAACGGACCTTGGCATTGATGGGCCATGAAGGCATCTCAGGTGCTCATCTAAGGCTTGTCACAACAGACCAGTGAAACATGGAGGCATAGTAAGCCTTTGACTTGCCTACATGGTTTAAGGGTTGCGATTTAGGCTACCTGTCCCAAACAAACTGCCCCAACCTTCCACCTAGATTCATCCATATGGAACACCTATCATATGCCAAGTAGCACACCAAGCACTGTGAATACAGTACTGACTGCAGACAAGGGCCTTGCTCTCAGGAGCCAACACTCTATGGGGTAAGACAACCATCTCATATACACCAATCTTCCTGATCTCACCGTACTTGAGTCAAGTTTCTGTTTCTCATATGCAACATAATTATTTTCACTGATGCCTTTGCATTTGCAGTGCCCCTGTTCATCACACAGCTATCACAACTTAAATATATCTCCTAAAAAGCCTCTTTATCTCAATATAATCAGTGAGCTAATTTCCTCATCTGTAATAGTCTATTACAAGGATTAAAAAAAAAATCTGTATAGAAGCATTTGGAACAGTATTCAGAATTGTAAATTGTTATTATTACTATTAAAATATCATTAGGTTGCCCTAAACGGTTTGGCTCAAGGGTCCCAGGTTCAATTCTGGTCAAGGGCATGTACCTTGGTTGCAGGCATAACCCCAGTGGGGCATGTGCAGGAGGCAGCTGATCAAAGTTTCTCTCTCATCAATATTTCTAACTCTGATGTTTCTAACTCTCTATCCCTCTCCCCTCCTCTCTGTTAAAAAAACAAATAATATATATATATATATATATATATATATATATATATATATAAATCTCATTAAGTTTACATGAAACATTTTTTTTAAAGGATAAGGGTAGAGGGAAAAGCACATAAACCAAACTTTAGGATATTTTAATGACACGGTTTCAGGAATTAATCTCACTATTTTTTTTTTTTTTTTTTTTTTTTTACAAACAGAAAGCTCTGATTAGTTTAATTTCTGAGATGTCAGATGGTCTCGAATGTTAAGATATGTTCCAAATCTCTATTGGAGAGTTCAGTGTCACAGATATTAAACTCAACACTGAACAATGTTCTCCAAAAATGACCTATACCTCTCCGTGTTACCCTAATTGTGCTATTTGTAGGAAAGTTTAATAAGTACACATCCTACATTACAGGTTTATCTTTACTTGAATAAGTAAGCTTTTAATCCAAGGAATACTGTATCACATTTCTTCTTGAATAAGAACATAGTAATACCTTTGCTACACTCTCACAGCCTTCTTGCATGCAACAAGGAATCCAAACGTCATTCTAAAACCAACTCTGTTTTTGAATATGGCATTGTGGTGGGGAGTGGCGATGGAGGTATAGATGGAACTAGAATAGCACAATGTTGCTAACTGCTGACACAAGGTCTGAGTACAAAGTGCTCCTTACATTATTGTTCCTTTTTTTATTATTATTATTATTCTGTTCCCTTTTTATTTTAAATCTTCCATAATAAAAGTGTTTTCAAAAATAGAACTATGTTGGGAGAAATATGCAAAAGAATAACTTTTAAATCAAAATATTTTTGTCAAGTATAAGGCTGGTGGCTCAAAAAAAAAAAAAATAAATCAGGCCACATCTGGGCCCACTGGAGCTATCATTTTCATGTTCACACAAATTATAAAAACACATTCTGCATTCTCAGGACCATATTCAGAAATTGGCATGGTACTTGGCACATCAGAGGAGGAAAAAAGCCAACAATTTAAACTTACTTTCTACATATTTATATCTCTATACTATGAAGAGCATTTCCTTAACCAAAATTAAGAAATGTATAAGCAAAGGGAGAAAACTACATTCTTTTTTTTTTTTAATGTGTACAATCTTTTTTTAAAATATATTTTTATTGATTTTTTACAGAGATGAAGGGAGAAGGATAGAGTTAGAAACATCGATGAGAGTAACATCAATCAGCTGCCTCGTGCACATTCCCTACTGGGGATGTGCCCGCAACCAAGGTATATGCCCTTGACCGGAATCAAACCTGGGACCCTTTAGTCCACAGGCTGTTGCTCTATCCACTGAGCCAAACCAGCTAGGGCAGTGGTTGGCAAACTCATTAGTCAACAGACCCAAATATCAACAGTACAATTGAAATTTCTTTTGAGATCCAAATATTTTAAACTTCAACTTCTTCTAATGCCACTACTTCAAAATAGACTCGCCCAGGCCGTGGTATTTTGTGGAAGAGCCACACTCAAGGGGCCAAAGAGCTGCATGTGGCTCGAGAGCTGCAGTTTGCCAACTATGGAGGTAAGGCAAAATTACATTAGTTTTAAGAACAATTAAACACTATCACAAAACTCCAAGAGGCATTCAGATTCATTAGAGATAAATCTACACTTACTCCAAGAATTTCTTTTTTTAGCCCTAGCTGGTTTGGCTCAGTGGACAGAAGGTCCCAGATTGGATTCTGGTCAAGGACATGTACCTTGATTGCAGGTAAATGTATGTTTCTACAATATCATCATTATTTAAGAGGCTTGGACTCCCAATTCTTTTCCCTAGGATGATGCTGAATGGGCCAGATGTGACAGGACCATGCCCAAACGTCAGAGTTTTAGCTGGGATGAGCATCACTCACCTGTGCACCAGGCAGTATTCCATGCACTAAGTTGTTAAATCCTTAGTCCCCGGTGCTATTCAGGTCAACCCTCTGCTTAACTAAGATGCCAAGTCTCAATGCTTCCTTTTCACATGTTGTCTTACTTAAACAACAAAACCACCATGGATAAATATTCTAGTGCCCGTTTTCACAGATGGCAAAAACAGCATCATTCATCTTTTCTGATCCCCTCTTCATTTCTCCAAGCTGATATTCAGGATACAGAAACTGGGGTAGGTAAGTCACACATAAGTTAATCAAAACTCTGTCTATGTCATGCTGTGATCTCAGGCAGGCCACACCATAAGGGATCAACATTCCTAGCAGGGACTTCTTAAAAAGGCTAATGTGAGGATCTAGGGCTTATACATGATTGCCCTACTATTAAAAAAAAGTGTGCACAGCCGAAACCGGTTTGGCTCAGTGAATAGAGCGTCGGCCTGCGGACTGAAAGGTCCCGGGTTCGATTCCGGTCAAGGGAATGTACCTTGGTTGCGGGCACATACCCAGTGGGGGTGTGCAAGAGGCAACTGGTCGATGATTCTCTCTCATCGATGTTTCTAACTCTCTGTCCCTCTCTCTTCCTCTCTGTAAGAAATCAATAAAATATATTTTTTTAAAAAGTGTGCACAGTCCAATGTGTGTAGAGATTCATTCATTTATGCCACCGAAAAGCCTACCAGATCATTCTTTATATACATAATTGATTTTTTTTTTTACGGAGAGGAAGGGAGAGGGAGTTAGAAACATGGATGAGAGGAACATCAGTCAGCTGCCTCCTGCACACTCGTTCCTGCGGATGTGCCCGCAACCAAGGTGCATGCCCTTGACTGGAATCGAACCTGGGACCCTTGAGTCCGCAGGCCGACGCTCTATCCACTGAGCCAAACTGGTTAGGACAAGATCGTCCTTGTGATTCAACCTGTTTACCACGAGGCCCCAAACTCCTAGGTTTGAATCCCAGCTCGGTCCTCTCACTAGTTGTGACCTTGAGTCGTCAGTCACTTCACCTTTGAGAGCCTACTGAGCGCACAGTCAACGTACGCACATGCGTCTAACCTTCCTTTGTGTTAGGTTCTGTCCTAGGACTCAACATCTCCTGGGGCTCAATTTGAGTCTCAACTTTGGAAACAAGCATCTGCACGTAAGGTCCGAGAGCAAAGCCCCTGGGTGGCGGCGGGGACGAGGGCAGCTACTCCTCAGCGAGGAGAGGAGAGGAGAGGAGAGGAGAGGAGAGGAGAGAGGGAGTCCTGGGGCGGCGCATTCTCAAGCCCAGAGGCGCCGCCCGGCTGCCCTCGCCTCGCTCCCGCCTTTGCCCTCCCCGCCGCCGCCCTGAGGGGCGGCCGGAGAGCAGAGAAAGGTCGGGCAGCGCGGGACCCTGGCAAAGGGTCCGGGGCGCGGCGAAGGCCCTCCGCGAAGACAGGCGCCCCGCGGCTCCCTCCCCGCCCAGTGCGTCTGTGAGCCCCGGGCCGGCTCCAGCTCCCAGCCTGACAAGCCCCAATCGGCCCCCGGTGCTTACCGACTGACGCCATCTTGGAGTCCGGGGTGTCCGCTCTGCGGGGCCGCGCAAGGACTGCTGGGTACGGCGCACGAGCCCCCGGAGGGGGCCTGGAGAGCAGAGGCTCACGGGAACCCGGAAGTGCCTGAGGCTCCGCCGCGGCTGCAGGTGCTCCGGAATGAAGGGCAAAGACTCTGGAGAGCAGAGCCCCCAGGCCGCCTCCTTTGGGGGCAGAGCAGGGAGAGAAGGGCCCAGCTGAGCTCTCCATCCTGGGAGGGAGTCAGAAAACGGGAAGTGGAAGGAAAAGAGAATCCTGGCTTTCTGACTGTCACCGTGAGCATATCAAGACCCTTCCTCCCGCCTGGACTGGATGGGAGATGAGCTCCGATTCTAAGGAATTCCCAGGCACCAGGAAAAGTGTTCACTCAGGTTTAAATTACAAGTAGGTTTGATTCCAGAGTACCCCCGTGTGTTCCAGCTCTGGGCTGGGGATGCAAGACCTTAGGGTTCACATGACCGTGTGTGTGTGTGTGTGTGTGTGCGTGTGTGTGTAAAGGCTACGTTCACCATTGCTGGTTAAGCAATTCTGACGTGGGTGTGATTCCATACTCTGAATCTCGGTTTCCTTCTCTGTAAAACAGGGATGTAATGCTTGCTTACTTGGCATCCTTGTGCTAGGAATTAAATGAAATGGTGTGTGTGAAAACATGGTAGGCAGTTAGCTGTGAGTAGAAGAAGGACCATGGGCCAGGTACAGAAGGTCACCAGGTTAGAAATGCCCCAGGTGACAATCTATTGCAGGGTGGGACCTCGCCCCCACGGTGACTTTTCCTTCCTATGGCTCATTATTCAGTTTAGACTTCCTAACCTTTCCTCCCTAGAGATAACGTCTGTGCCTCAGTTGCATTTTATTTTTTTAAGATATATTTTATTGATTTTTTTACAGAGAGGAAGAGAAAGGAAGCTATAGATTTTTTTACAGAGAGGAAGAGAGAGTTAGAAACATCGATGAGAGAGAAACATCTATCAGCTGCCTCCTGCATCACCACCCCCCCGCCCCCACTGGGGATGTGCCCGCAACCCAGGTACATGCTTTTGACTGGAATCTAACCCCGGACCCCTTGGTCCACAGGCCGATGTTCTATCCATTAAGCCAAACCAAACCAGTTTCGGTTCAGTTGCATTTTAGCTCCAGGCCCAGATAACAAAACCAGCCCCTGCTGACAGCTGACTGTCAGGACTAGCTGCTTTGAATAATGACTCCCTGCCCTGGTGCCAGCCAATCAATCAGTTATGACCACGACCCTGAAAAGACACACCTGGAAAACTGCTGCTTATCCTATCGAGATCTTCTCCTGGGACTTCCCCTAAAACACCCACCTTAAAATTCTTAGGGAGGACCCAGTGCTCTCTTCCTCCCCAGAGCACACCTCGCCTTTCCCTTTCCTTTTCCCCACTGCCTCCTGCCCCAGGCACATTACCATTAGCTTCCTCACTTCCAGGCTACAAGGACCCTTTGGCCTCCACTTGTCTCCCTAAGTCTATTCTAGGAATTACTTTTTCTACCTCTTGATTTACCAAATAAATGTCCTCTTAACAGTTTGTTTGGGTCTTGTCTCTGAATTCTTTCCTACCCAGAACCCAGGTACTGAGGTTGCTGAACCCAGATTTGGTCTGCCCTCACCCATCAGACACCAGGCACTGTTCCTGCCGCTTACAACACAAATAAAGGATTAAGAACTGTATAGGAATTGGACCAGTAAACTGATAACTTCGCCAGGAAACTGGCATGGGCAGTTATGAAACTCTTAGCCAAACACATAGTGCTATGTACTGGCCACTAGACCATAGAAATCAGTCAGACATGGACTCCGAGCTCTGGGTCTCTGGTATTGTAACAGGAGATAAGTGTGTAGACAGTGAACAAAGTGTTGACATGTTTATAATAACCCTAAAGTGGAAATACCCTAAAAGCCCATCAACAAAAGAAGAGATTTATAAGTGGATAGAGTGTCGACCTGTGGACTGAAGGGTCACAGGTTCTCCAGTCAAGGGCATGTACCTTGGTTGCAGCCACATCCCCAGGGGGTGCAGGAGGCAGCTGATCGATGTACTCTCTCATCGATGTTTCTAACTCTATCCCTTTCCCTTCCTCTGTAAAAATCAATAAAAATATATTTAAAAAAATAAAAAATAAAAGCTCTGACATCTCCATGCTCTTTTCTTTCCAATTGACTAGGTTACAAAACCCAGAGCATTTTGGCAGCCATGTAATAGGGCTGCCATCAAACTGATGGCTTGGAGAGCCATCCTGCCAGTCATGTGTATGTACCTTAAACTTACAGGAGCGAGAACAACTATAGCTTTTGGGGTGTTTTTTAGACCTATTATCATAAGTTAACTGAATTCATGTTTAAGATATTCTTCACTAATCTAAGATCAGAAAAAGACCACCTATATTTTTTCTAAAAGAATTGAAGTGTTTCAATAAAAATTTTAAAAAGCTGAATTATTAAACAAATAACTAAACTTGGTCTTTTAGCAGTTTCTGGTATAGATATAGTTGTGTTTTACCCCAAAATGTATATGATGAAGCCCTAAATCATAGTGCCTCAGAATGTGATTGTGTTTGGAAACAGGGCCTTTTAGGAGGTGATTAAGTTAAAATGAAGTCACTAGGGTGGGCTAAAATCTTATCTGACTGGTGTCCTTATGAAATGGAAATTTGGAAGATCACTTGAAGACACAGGGAAAAGACAGCCATGTATAAGCCAAGGAAAGAGGCCTCAGAAGGAACCAACCCTGCCAACATGCTGATCTTGGAGTCCCTAGCCCTAGTTTGGGTGTGAGAAAAATTATATTTATCATCCCAGTCTATTTTTTTTTTATGACATCAGAGCAGACTAAGACACCCTTCATAATATAGGGATCAGAGATTACATAAACACATTAATTTACTGTATATAATAGTTGGTATGGTAAATAACAAAACCTACCGATAGTGTTAGTAAAGAAAACATTTTGGGATAGGATACTTGAGAAGCAAAAATTTTAAATTGTTTTATGAGTGGAATTTTTCCTTTGTTATTTGTGATTTAGGGACCAAGGAAAGGAAGATGGAATTAAAAGCAGAGGAAACATCTTGATCAAAGGCATATATGTGGGAAATTCAAGTAATATATAAGTAGCAGTAAATGTCTCTAGAAGGTAGATAAAAACTAAAATTGGAGAGTTACTATAGTAAAAACATTCTAAGTTCATTCTAAGTTTGCAGAGTTACTATAGTAAAAACAATAGGATCAGTACCTATACCAGGTTATATACTATATAACTATCACTATTTGACTTTGGGAAAATATCCTTGATAAGCTTAGAGAAAATACCACTGTGATACAGCTCATGACTTGCTTAAACTTTTATCATTCCCTCATTCTCAGTCATTTTAATACTGAATCTCATTTAAATAAAAAGTTAAAGATACCTAGGCCAGCCCTTTCATAGTCCCTCCTGTTGGTTACAAGGAAGATCAAAGAAGAAAGCACATACTACTATTCTACCACATCCAAGATGGAGATGAGATCTGAAAAGCAATTACTTTGGTTTCAGTTTTTGTACATTTAGAGGGAAAATATGAGTTAAAGTGACAATGCTAGAGTAGAACACTCAGAACATAATTGGTGTTTGCTTCAGGGCAAATTGGGAAGTTGTATTGAAAACCAAAAATAGCTCACACACTGATCAGATTTCTACCTGGGAGCCTAGCCTTAGATTTTAGAGAACAATCCAAATGATGCCAAAATTATATTAACATTCACTACATACTGCCTTGCCTCCATTGTTACATCCATTTGTTGGAATATGATGCAGCCATTGCATAAAGGTTATAAAAACTATATAAAATTCTTAATATCTAATGCTAAATACATAAAATGTAAAAACTAATTTTTATTATACAAAAATATCAGGGAAAATCAGAAGGAAATACAGTCGACTCTTGAACACCACAGGTCTGAACTGCAAAGGTCCACTTATACACAAACTTTCAATAAATATGTAGACAGCATGCTGTACTTACAGGTTTCACATCTGTGGATACAACCAAAAGGGACTTGAGCATATGCAAATTTTTATCTGCAGGGGATTGAAGCCAATTCCCACAGATATCTAGGGATGACTTAAATATTGGGGGAGTCAAATTACACATGGGATTTTTTTCTCCTCGGACTCTGTCTGGGCAGCAGCCATGGCTGAAGCTGAGGTGCACGTTGCCATGCCGGAGGAAGACAAACCCGATGCAGAAACCGTGCAGGTGCTCCGGGACCTGGCCAATCGCCTGCGCATCCATTCCATCAAGGCCACGTGTGCCTCGAGCACCGGCCACCCCACATCATGCAGCAGTGCTGCTGAAATCATGTCCGTGCTATTCTTCCACATCATGAGATATAAACAGGACGACCCTGAGAACCCGAACAATGATCGATTCATCCTTTGCAAGCGACTGGCATTTGTTGATGTGGCAATCGGATGGTACAGACCAGGACTGGGGGCTGCGTGTGGGATGGCATATTCTGGCAAGTACTTTGACCATGCCAGCTACCGCGTGTTCTGCCTTTTGGGAGATGGTGAGTCTTGGGAAGGCTCTGTTTGGGAGGCATTGGCCTTCGGTGCTCACTACAGTCTGGATAATCTCATGGCCATCTTCGACGTCAACCGCCTGGGCCACAGTGGCGTCTTGCCCATTGAAAACAGCATCGAGATCTATCAGAAGCGCTGTGAAGCCTTTGGGTGGAACACTTACGTGGTGGACGGTCGTGATGTCGAGGTGCTTTGTGAAGTGTTCTGGCAAGCAACTCAAGTAAAGAACAAGCCCACTGCTGTCATTGCCAAGACCTTCAAGGGCCGGGGCATTCCAAGTGTTGAGGATATAGAAAATTGGCATGGAAAGCCAATGCCAACAGAAAGAGCAGATGCAATTATCAAATTAATTGAGAGCCAGATAGAGACCAACATGCAGCTCACACCAAAATTCCCTATTGAAGACTCGCCTCAAATCAACACCACTGAAGTACAGATGACCTCTCTGCCTATTTACGAAGTTGGTGACAAGGTTGCTACTCGCAAAGCCTGTGGTTTAGCTCTGGCTAAGCTGGGCCATGCAAATGAGAGAGTCATTGTGCTGGATGGTGACACCAAGAACTCCACCTTCTCTGAGATATTCAAGAAAGAGCACCCTGAGCGCTTCATTGAGTGCTTTATTGCCGAGCAAAACATGGTGAACGTGGCGCTGGGATGTACTATTCGTGGCCGGACCATTGCTTTTGTTTGCACCTTTGCTGCCTTTTTGACCAGAGCATTTGATCAGATCCGTATTGGAAGCATCTCCGAATCCAACATCAACCTTATTGGGTCCCACTGTGTGGTATCCATTGGTGAAGATGGCTCCTCCCAGATGGCCCTGGAGGATTTGGCCATGTTCCGAACAATTCCCAACTGCACCATTTTCTATCCAAGTGATGCTGTCTCCACAGAGTATGCTGTGTTCCTGGCGGCCAATACTGAGGGGATATGCTACATTCGGACCAATCGACCTGAAACTGATGTTATTTACTCCCCAGAAGAAAAATTTGAGATTGGCAAGGCCAAGGTCATTCGCCAGAGTGTCAATGACAAGGTCACAGTTATTGGAGCTGGAGTTACTCTGCTTGAAATCTTGGTAGCTGCTGATGAACTTGCCAAACAAGATATACCTATCCGTGTCATTGACCTGTTTACCATTAAACCCCTGGATGCTGACACCATCATTGCCCATGCAAAATGCACTGCTGGCCAAATTATTACAGTGGAGGATCACCACTCAGAAGGTGGCATCAGGGAGATTGTGTGTGCAGCTGTTTCCATGGAGCCTGACATCCTGGTGCATGGCCTGGCAGTACAAGGAGTTCCTCGGAGTGGAAAACCGAGCGAACTACTGGATATGTGTGGAATTAGTGCCAGCCACATTATAATGGCTGTGAAATGTATGTTAACCAACTAAAATAGCTGCTGACATCTCTACATTCATACGTGTTGACAAGCCATTTAAATCTATACTCTGTGTGCTTTCTTATTCTTTCTTGTTCTTAAATACTTTCCAGTTAGGCCATAACTATGTGTACAAGTGCCACTCGCATGTTTAAGCAATTAAAGTGGGTTTTAAGATTGTACGTAAAGAAAATGGGAACTGGCCGAGACCGATTTGGCTCAATGGATAGAGCGTCGGCTTGGGGACTGAGGGGACCCGGGTTCAATTCCGGTCAAGGGCATGTACCTTGGTTGCGGGCATATCCCCAGTAGGGGGTGTGCAAGAGGCAGCTGTTCGATGACTCTCTCTCATCGATGTTTCTAGCTCTCTATCTCTATCCCTTCCTCTCTGAACAAAATCAATAAAATATATTAAAAAAAAGAAAATGGGAACTATAGACTGTAACCGCCTGGGTCGTGCATCACCACGCTGTGTACTGCTGACCCAAGTGGAGAATGCATGTGCTGCCATCCTACCTGCAGCTTCCTGTGGACTGAAGTGGCTCTGGAATTTCATCTTCCCTCTCACAGTGTGTGAGGCAGCAGTGAAAGCTCTTAGATTGTCCTTTGCTGCTTGAGGTGACTTGTCTATGAAGAAAGGATACAACTAGTTCTAGCATACACACTGCACTCTTGTGAGGTCTCACATGTCTCATTTGCCCAGTGACCAGACCTAACTGTAAACTCAATTATATCCATTTACTTGTTAAGACTTAATAAAGCATTAAAAAGACAAAAAAAAAAAATTATACATGGATTTTTTTCACTGTACAGGGTGTAGGCACCCCTAACCCTCACGTAGTTCAATGGTTAACTGTAAATGCCACTAATAGATCAAGTGTGGGAGTATGGGTCATTTTCTCCCTTGTTATTTTCCCAAATATCCAGTAATGTGCTTATATCCCTTTAGTTAAAAAAAAAAAAAAAAAAAAAAAAAATTTCAGAATTTAGATGCAATACATGTTACCAGTGTACAGAACTGGAAAAAGATGGATTTAGGCTCTAATCCAAGTTTTTATTTGTGCCTACAGTTTAACACAATAGGGAAAGAATGGGAAAGAAGGACTCAGCAAAACTGAATATTTTAAAAGTAAAAAACATAGGTGGCTCTTGTATTCACTGAACTGAATGTATGAGGTATTTTGTATGAGAAAGTACTTGAAATTCTCTCTACCATCTAAGTAGAAAGACAATGGGAAGTTACTAAAATGAATTCTTAGGGAAGTAATGGGAGTGCGGAAGATTTGAACGAAGAGCAGCAGAAGTAAGAAGGGTGGAGAGACAAGGACAGAAGTCTCCACAGGTCCACCTGGTGGAGGGGCTCCCAACTTACGTGCTTCTCCTTCCTAGCAATACTCTATGAACATTACGCTTGAAATTTAAGTCAGACTGAATCTATCTTGGTTGTGATGCCCAAGGAAATATGACCCACAATTGACTGAAATACACCAAATGCCAGAGAATGTGGTTTCAGGGAATAATAAAATGAAGGAAAACAGTTCCTGCAGAATCATGTCAAAATGATGGGGTTTTATTTCTGTGGATCCTTTGGTGTCGAATAAGGTGTGGACTCTGTCTAAAGCTTTCCCCACATTCAAGACATTTATAAGGTCTTTCTCCAGTGTGAGTTCTCTGGTGTATAATGAGGGTCGCACTCTGACTGAAGCATTTCCCACAGACAGAACATTCATAAGGCTTCTCCCCGGTGTGGGTTCTCTGGTGTTTAGAGAGGTCAGAGCACCGTTTGAAGCTTTTCTCACATTCTTCACATGTATAGGGTCTTTCCCCTTTATGGATTCTCTGATGTCTAAAGCGGTTGGAAATACGGCAGGTCTCCCCACATTCAGTACATTTATAGTGTTTCTCTCCTATGTGGATTCGTTGATGCCGATTGAGATGTGAGCTCTGCCTGAAGCTGTCCCCACATTTGGGACATGTGTATGGCTTTTCCCCTGTATGTGTCCTCTGGTGTTTAATCAAGGCAGCACTCTGACTGAAGCTCTTCCCACATTCTTTGCATTCGTAGGGTTTCTCCCCAGTGTGGATTCTCAGGTGTTTTAAGAGGTCAGAACGCTGTTTGAAACCCTTTCCACAGTTATCACATTTATAAGGTCTTTCTTCACGGAGCTGCCTTTGGGTCTGAAAAAGGCCTGAAGTATGGAAATTTTCCACATTGTCAATAGATTTGTGAGGTTTCATCACTATATCTAAACTCTGTTTGCACTTGTTGCCACGTTCAGCACCATTAACAGACCTCTCTACTGTCAGGCCATGCCTACAAAGAACCAAGTTTGAACTTCTGGCACTATTCCCAATTTCATTATTTTTGGAGTCTCCCTCTTTTGAGGGAACATTCTTGAGATCTGAGATGCTGGTGAGTCTTTGCTCCTCAGGAGAATTTTCAAGTTTCAGGAATAAAGGGTTTCTTGAGTGCTTTTCTACCATCTGCTCATGGGTATCACCACATTTGGACAACAGGGGAGCATTCCCCTGGGACCTTTCTTGTAGCTGCATCTGTGGCTCTACTTCTAGAATTTCTTGCTTTGGAATCAACTCTTTGTTCTCTGTTCTGGTTTCCAAACCTGAAACATTAAAATACAAATTGATGACATTTCATCCTGTGTAAGAGTGAAATAAGTGATAGCAGAAAAATAGCCCTAACAATAACCTTTTTAAGGTCGATGAAACTACTCCTGAAGTTGAATTTAGTTAACCTGTCAGATGTGTTCATTTTCCTGTACAAACCCCATTTCTTCGCTTTTATACTTGTGCCTGCACCCACCAACCCATCTCTTATCCCCCTGCCCCACTCCACTATTCTATGAATTACCACATTATGACAGGGTGTCAAGAGAGGTGTTATAGCTTTTATCCTATGGCTGAAGGATGGTTTGACAAAGAGAAATTCTATTCATGATGAGTTACTGTATTAGACATACCAGGTACCTCCAATGTCTGAAGACAGTCTGTGTGGGAGATATATCTAGTACTGATTGAAAGTCTATAACGGAACAGTCAAGACACCAGAGTTTATCCCCCAATCCAGAATTCTTACAGTTTACTCTCCAAAAAGGCCAGACCAGATAAATTCCAGATCAAGGACATCAGGCACAGTTAAAGAACAGGTGAGCCGGGACTGGTCTGGCTCAATGGATAGAGCGTCAGCTTGGGGACTGAAGGGCCCCAGGTTCGATTCCGGTCAAGGGCATGTACCTTGGTTGCGGGCATGTCTCCAGTGGGGGGTGTGCAAGAGGCAGCTGATCGATGACTCTCTCTCATTGATGTTTCTAACTCTCTATCTCTCTCCCTTCCTCTCTGTACAAAAATCAATAAAATATATTAAAAAAAAAAAAAAAAAGAACAGGTGACAAGTACCATTAGCATATCAGGACAATCAAGTGAAAACTAATATACTAATTTGTAAAAACCCAATGTACTATCCTCTCCAGAAGCTCAAACTACTGGCTCCAAAGCTTATGTTCTCCAGACAGAAAGGGCAGGAAAAAATTTTTTTCAAATCCTCACCTGAGAATATGTTTATTGATTTTTAGAGAGGAAGGGGGAGAAACATTGATCAGTTGCCTCCCAATATGTGTCCCTATCAGGGATCAAAACTGCAACCTCTTTGGTGTACAGGATGATGCTCCAACCAACTGAGCCACATGGCTGGGGCAAGGGCAGAAATTTTTATGGCAAAAATTCCATAGGCTTATTCCCTATTGCAGTGGTCAGCAAACTCATTAGTCAACAGAGCCAAATATCAACAGTACAACGATTGAAATTTCTTTTGAGAGCCACATTTTTTAAACTTAAACTATATAGGTAGGTACATTATTATTAACTTAATTAGGGCACTCCTAACCTGGCCTTTGCTAAAAAATTCAAGGGGCCAAAGAGCTGCATGTGGCTCACGAGCCACAGTTTGCCAACCACTGCCTTATTGTATTCCCATCTAAAATAGCACCTGGTTTACTGCAGCTACTCAATAAAATATTTGTTGAATAATCTCTTGTTGAAATATTTGTTGGAAAATAAAGCTAAGGAGATCTCCTAGAAAGTGAAATAAAAGATAAAGAAATAGAAAAGGGATTGGGGACTTGACAGAATCAATTCATGAGTTCCAACATCCAAATGAAAGAAATCCCAGTAACAACATAGTAAAAATGAGATAAAAATAAGTGGACAGATAGATTAAAAAAATACTACAGAAAATTTCTCACAACTCAAAGATACGGGTTTCTGCAACTACTCAGGACAATGAATGGGGGCGGAAAACACCTACCTCATATTAAGCCATATCCATTGTGAAATCTCATAGTAGCATAAAAGAAAAAAGAAAAGCTTCTAAAGGCTTCTACACCGGACAAACTGATTGTATGCCAAGGATAAAATATCACAGTGACAAAAGATTTCTCAATAGCAACATGGCATACTGGCCAGAAAATTCAGTCTTCAAAATTCAAACATATTACTTATAATATTGAATGCTATATCCAGCCACACTATAATACGAATGTAAGAGAGGACTAAATATACTTCCTGACACTGACAAAGTTTCAAAAAATTTAGCTCCCAAGAATATATTCTCTGGAACACACTAGAAGAGTTCTCCACCAAATCAAGGGGTTAAAATGAAGCAAGAAATTATATGGGATCTAGGGGGGAGGGGGGGGGAATTCCCAGGGTGATACTGAAGAAGTCAACAGATCTGGAGAAGAAGCCTATTCACACTGGAGCAGATTCCCCTCAGGGGATATGAAAATGATGCATATCTGATGTATATGAACATGCTGAAAAAGTTTTACATTTCTAACAGAAAGCTTGTGAGTGAATTAGTTTTCACTAGTTAGAAGAATAAGCACATGCAAAATGAGGCATTTCTAATTCCAGGAAAACCGTAAAAGGAAAGTGTAAAAGCTTTAGAAGTTTTATTCAATATGTGGGTGAATATTGATAGTATTTTGTTTTTTTAGATTCAATTGTTATGTTTTTATTGCCATTTTGTTGTTCATATTTTAAATCTTTTTTTCCTTCTCTTTTTACTTATTTTTAATATATACATTAAATATACTAAAGGCCCCATGCACAAATTCATGCGCCAGTGGGGTCCCTTGGCATGGCCTGCTGGATCAGGCCAAAACCAGCTCTCCAACATCCCCCAAGGGGTCCTAAATTGCAAGAGGGCGCAGGCCAGGCCAAGGGACCCCACCAGTGCATGATGGGGGCCGGGGAAGGATTTGGGGAGTGCTCCAGGGCATGTCTAACCAGTCTTGTTCAGTCTTGATCCACCAGACCCCAGCAGCAAGCTAACCTACAGGTCATAGCATCTGCCCTCTGGTGGTCAGTGCACGTCATAGCGAGCGATTGAGTGGCCTTAGCATATCATTTGCATATTATGCTTTGATTGTTTGAATGGCCGACAGGTCAAACGGACACTTAGCATATTAGGCTTTTATTATATAGAATATAATTAAATATATATATATATTTTAAAAAAGAGACAGCTCTAACTGGTTTGGCTCAGTGAATAGAGTGTCAGCCTGTGGACTGAACGTGCCTTGGTTGCAGGTACATTCCCAGTTTGGGGGGGGGGGGGGAGGTGTGTGCAGAAGGCAGCTGATCGATGTTTCTCTCTCATCGATGTTCCTAACTCTCTATCCCTCTCCCTTCCTCTCTAAAAAAATAAAAAAATATATTAAAAAAAAAAGAAAGAAAGAAACAATGATGAGAGAGAATCATTGATTGGCTGTCTCCTACACACCAACACTGGGGATCAAGCCCACAACCCAGCATGTGCCCTGACTGGGAATCAAACTGTGACCTCTTAGTTCATAGGTCAATGCTCAAACATGAGCCACACCTGCTGGGCTCTTCAATTTTTAAAGTGAATACTTAAGACAACTATATTAAGACATCATGCCATCAGCTGAACACCAAATGTTGATAAGGATAGAGAAAGAATTATTGTATACTGCTTGTATTCTTCTGGACAGTAAGATAGGCAAATATCCCTAAGTATATTCTTATCAGAAACTCCTACAGCGAGAAAGACAAGAATGTTCAGTGTACTGTTGGTAATGGTGAAAAACTGGAAGCCTTAATCTCCATTGGCAGGAGAATGAATAAATGAACTTGGGAACATTCTACAATGTATATATGGATGTTAAAAGGAATTAACTAGAGTGATATAAACGTGGATAAATCTCAAAATGTAGTGTTGAGGAAAAGGCAAGGTACAATAAAATCATACAATAATATACACTGAGTGGCCAGATTATTATGATCACCCCATCAGTACTTCTTTGAGTCAACTTTGCCTTCAATTCTGCGGTGATTCTTCTTGGCACTGACTCCATGAGATGTTGAAAGTGATGTGAGGAACCTGACACCATGCCTGATGAACAGCACTGCCCAGTTCTGAGATTTGATGGTTGTGGAACCAGTTAACTTCGTCCCACAAATGCTCAATTGGATTGTGACCTGGTAATTGTGGGGGCCACCTAAGCAAGGTAAAGTCTCCCTCATGTGCTTGAAACCACTCCTGCACAATACAGCACAGTGGCATGGCGCACTGTCTTGTCGGAAGAAGCCATCTCCATTGGGATACGCCATCAACATGATAGGATGAACTTGATCAGCAACAATACTTAGGTATGTTGTGCTATTCAGATGTTGTTCCACATGAATTAAAGGGCCCAAATCATGCCAGGAAAACATGCCCTAAACCATAACACTGCCACCCACCAGCTTGAAGGATAGTACTCATGCATGAGGGGTGCATGCTTTCATGCTGTTTCCGTGAAATTCTCACTCTGCCATCTGCATGATGCAATTGCAAACATGATTCATTGGACTACATGACTTTTTTCCAATGTTCGACAGTCCAATCCTTGTGTTCCTCTGTGAACTGGGGATATTTTACCTTGGTAACTGCAGACAGCAAAGGTGTTCGAACAGACCTTTGGCTTCCATATCCCATAAGATGCAATGTATGGCTAATTTGCCTACAAACGTCAGGTGGTCATAATAATCTGGCCACTCAGTGTATATATACCATAAAAACATGTTAAAGTAGTATATAAATGTTTATATAATCACATTTATATATTTACATGTTTATGTACATGTTTACACACACATATATAGAGGGAAAGAGAGAGAGTGTGTGTATGAGTGTGGCTACATGAATATGTAGAAAGAATATAAAATACACATGGAAATGATAAATACCCACAAGATATTGGTTACCTCTGAAAAAGAAGGGAAGCCAGAAGCTTTCAAGGAAGATATGCATATAGCTGTAACACATTTTTGTTAAAAAAAAAAAAAAAAAAAATGAAGCCAATATGGCAGATATTAAAATCTGATCAACCAAGTGGTAGATACACAGGTGCCCATTGTATTTTTTATACTTTTCTGTATGTATTTTATTGAAACTGAATTAAAACAAGAAGCCTAACAACACATAATAAAAAAGTCTTACTTAAGGTCACAAAAGAGAACCTTGGACTCTCAACCTATTTCTGTGAGTGGCAGACTGGCTCAGGGATCAAACTGAAGCAAACCCTTCACAAATGACACAAAGCTAGAAACAAGCAAAGTCATAGCACTTACTTGGTAGGACTCTGCTCCCATAATCCTTCAGCATGTCCTCCCTGTAGAAGTCCCTCTGAACTGGGTCCACATGCTCCCACTCCTCCCAGGTTACAGGTACATCCTTGTCCTTCATCAATCCCTGAAACCAAGAGAGACCTCCCCTCAGCACCTGCTGTCCCAGGATACCTTACCACTAGTCTCAGGATAAGGCTAGCCTCAGCCAGCAGTACTGAAGAGGAAGCACTGAGAATGAAGAAACAAACACTTCTGTTGAGCCCTTACCAGTGAATCATGTACTGACTGGGTAGTTTCAAAATGACCAAAAACAGAAGCTGCAGTTCTCTTGCAATCCCCAAAAGCCATTCTGTGGACTGTCTACACTAACTCTGGGTTAAAGCAAAATAATAATTTGAGTTACATCACTGTGATTTATCAAGATGGAAATATGATGTAGATTAAAAATGTATGGATAGCCAAAACCGGTTTGGCTCAGCGGTAGAGCGTCGATCTGTGGACTGAAAGTTCCCAGGTTCGATTCCGGTCAAGGGCATGTACACTGGTTGCGGGCACATCCCCAGTAAGGGGGGTGCAAGAGGCAGCTGGTGGATGTTTCTCTCTCATCAACATTTCTAGCTCTCTATCTCTCTCCCTTCCTCTCTGTAAAAAATCAATAAAATATATATTTTTTAAAAATGTATAGATAACCAGATCAGAGAGTCCTAAAATCCAATGCTGGCTCTAAAACAGCTTCCTCATGTGTGAAATGGATATAAATATGTCTTAAGAAGATGAAGGTACCTCATCAGCGCAGGTACTCAATAAAATTTCCTTTCCTTCTTTGACCATTGCACAATAAGATGATTACTCAACAAGATGATCTTTTGAAAAGGCTTAATATAAGTTGACTATTTACAGAAGGTAAAGCCACAGTTCTTAGAGAGGGAAGCTTCTAAAACTGGTGCAGAGAGAGGTTCCAGTGATGTCTCACAAACTGACTCCAAAGATCTCACACTCAATGTCAGGGAAGGATTTTTTTTTTTTTAATTTTCTACTATGTTTTGACATGCTGGGAGATGTCCCTTCTGGGTGTAAGCCAATTCTTAGAGAGCAAAGGTTCAGCTGAGACTGGTTAATCTAGAGCCCTATCTTCTCTATGGGGCCTGCACACCCAAGGAGGCAAGATTCCTCTGCCTTAATCATCCCATGGTCAGGTACCAGGCAACTAGGAACCCCTGCATAATTTACAGCTGACTAGAAGATTTAAACTAAGCAATCCTATTGTTTACCCTGCCATGCTCTTCCTTTCCCTCTGAAATCCCTATTTAGACTCTGGCCTAACTTTTCCCTAGCTCCTGTTATCTGCCTCCTGACTATGACCTGGTGTCTTTCCCAGGAGGTTCTGTGTGGCATGCAGTGCCTCCTGCCTCCAGGACCTGAGTATAGTACATTTCACACCCTCCCCCCTCACCCAGCCTCTCCTCCATCTCTGTGTAAAGGAAAACCACACCCTTGTGTATTTTCTCTCCACTTAATACTTCATTACAAACTATTTCACTTCTAACACCAGATGTGTGTGTTTCCCCACGTCAAGCAATTCTCCTACACCAGCTAGCTGTATCCTACAGTTTAACTCAATCCTGATACTATGTACCTGGAGACGGGTTCAGATCCCACAGGTTGAGGAATCAGTCCTACAAGACTTCCCAACTTCAGATGCTAACTATAAATCCACCACCTGTTTCTGACCAACCAGCTTTAGATCAGAGGTTCCCTGGACCCTGTCTTTGAGTTCAAAATTAATTTCCCAGAGCAGCTTCAGAACTCAATTTGCTTATTAGCCTTAGTCGGCCTGCGGACTGAAGGGTCCCAGGTTCCATTCTGGTCAAGTGCATGTACCTTGGTTGCGGGCATATCCCTTGTAGGGAGTGTGCAGGAGGCAGCTGATCAATGTTTCTCTCTCTCTCTCTCTCTCTTTTTATATATATTTTGTTGATTTCTTACAGAGAGGAAAGAGGGATGGAGAGTCAGAAGCATTGATGAGAGAGAAACATTGACCAGTTGCCTCCTGCACCCCCACCTCCCCCAGATGTGCCCTCAACCCAGGTACATGCCCTTGACCGGAATCAAACCTGGGACCCTTCAGTCCACAGACCGACACTCTATCCACTGAGCCAAACCGGTTTTGGCAATGTTTCTCTCTCTCTATCCCTCTCCCTTACTCTCTATAAAAAAAAAAAAATCAATAAAATATATTTTAAAAACCCACAAAAAACCATTTACTGACTAGATTACCAGTTAATTATAAAAGGGTATAACTCAGAAACAACAAGATAGAGGAGATGCATAGGGCAAGGTCTGGGAAGATCTCATGCTCGGAAGCTTGTCCCCATAGAGCTGGGGTGTATTGCTCTCCCACTAAGTGGATGTACTTACCGTCTGGAATCTCCCTGAATCCCATGCAATTGGAACTTTTATGAAAGCTTCATCACGTAAGTGATCAATAATTAACTCCACTTCCAGCCTCTCTCTCCTCTCTGGAGTACTATTATCAACTGTGGGAGGAGGGAGTCGCCAAACCGTTAAAAAGTAAAAAGGGAACCTCACATTCAAAGTGGTGGGGCATGGCTGTTACAGCATTCTGACATCCTTCTTACCCCAAGCATCGAGTTATACAAAGGCGTGTCTCACAATGCGTAAACACTCTCGAGTAACTGGTTTTGTGCTGAGCGGTCTCTAGCTCAAGGATCATTCCTTGAATGGACTCGTCCCTGTTTCCCTTCGGAAAGGAAACGTTTTATGCACATTCTAAAATTCACACAAAATGTAATAAGGAAGAAAAAAAGACCTTCTGAAACTCATACACCTCCATTCCCCACACTCCACCGGCGCACTACGCACCTGGAGGGAGGGTCCACCGAGCCTTCCCTGAAGGGCCCGCACGATGGCCGCAGCCGGGGCGCCGCCCGCCGGGCGGTGCTTCCGCACGCGGTCCTGCAGCTCCGCGGGCAGCGCGGTCAGGAACTGCTCCAGCACCAGCAGCTCCAGGATCTGCTCCTTCGAGTGCACCTCGGGCCTCAGCCACCGGCGACAGAGTTCCCTGAGCCGGTGCAGCGCCTCCTCGGGTCCGGCCACCTCCTGGTAACGGAACCGCCTAAAACACTGCCGACAAGTTTCGGGATCCAGGGAATCCACAGGCGGGCCGGGCTCCCGACCTCCCGGGGAGTCTTCCTCCACTTTCACTATCAGAAGCCCATCGCTCAGGGGCGGCGCGGCGAGCCTGGGCCCCGCAGCCGCCGTCCACGCCCCCGCCTCAGCCTCACTGCCTTCTCCCGCGGCCAAGCTCGAGCTCATCTTCCTTCAGCGCGCGCCGACTTCTCCGGAGTTTTGCCGTCAGGTGAGAAGGGGGCAAACCCTGCAAAAACCCACACAACTCATCGTCCTTCCTCAGGTGGCGGCACAATCCACCCGGCTCCCTTCAGGAGTCCTCTTAGGGCTTTGCCACTTAGGACCGCCCGTCCCGTGACAAAAAAAAATCAAAAACTAGTAACTCTGGCCGGAACTGCGTCACCGACTCCCTGCAGTACACACCCTCCCGGGCATTTCCGGGGTCTCTCTAGGCGCCCTGGAGGACTGGGATGAATCTTGGTGGTTTGCCGCCCGCCCCTTCTTTTTGTGGAGATTGTAGTCCTTCAGGTTACAAAACTAACCGGTTCTCTTTTTTCTTTTAAAACTTGAATGCCATTCTTTAACACACTGTCTGTGAATAAAGTTTTAAAGCTTTGTTTTGGGAAAAGTTAAAAATGCAACTGTACAATGAGTTGTAAAAAACATTCACCCATGTGGTATTTGTTTACACAAGAAAGGTTTGTAGAGTATCTTCTACATGACAGAACATCGTGTTCGATATCATAAAAATCCTCAAATTGCTCACAGTGTCCTGGGATCAGGCTGGAGGGCTGGGCTCCGGATGGCAGTCCTTTATTCTAGGCTGCGAAGGGAGTTGTGGTGCTTGCTTTCAAGCTGGCTGTGTGAATGGTCATCCTTTCTCGCACGCGGGGGGGGGGGGGGGGGGGGGGGGGGGGGGGGGCTCCCTTCCAGGTTGCCTGGGGGAGTGGGCATAGTTGATCTAGGCAGAGTGGGGAGTCCCAGGATCTCTGCCCTTCTGCACTGATGCCTGAAACTCCCTGGGTAGGGAAAAGACTGATGTTAGGGTCAGAGGAGGGGCAGGGCCTTACCCTGATCTTGAGGCCACAAATCTTGGTTTTCATACTACCTAAGGTGAGGTAAGTGCTATATGCTTTTGTTGTTATATGTTTTTTCTTGTAATTCCCATATTCATGCTGCTCATATCCCAAGGTCTTCATTTTTTGGGCTACCTGGGGGTCTATGTCACCCCAGGATGGCTCTATATCTAGTCTCAGTTCCTCTACCTGCCCAATGTTTATCCAGCGGTCTTTTTTTTTTTTTTTTTTTTTTTTTTTTTTTTTTTTTAAATCAATCTTTATTGTTCATATTATTACAAAGGTTCCTCATTTCTTCCCCCCTCCACCAGGTTCCCACCCCACCCTCCGTCCCCCCCCCCATCCCCCATTGTCCTCATCCATAGGTGCAGTTTATGTTCAGTCTCTTCTTCCCTCAATTTCCCCAATAGTAAATCCCTTTTCATATAGTAAATCAGTTACTTAGCATTTTCTCATATCAATAATACCTCCACATGCCCAATGATACACTTCACACAAAAGACATTTCCCACTAGGTCAACCAGCCTCATCCAGGCCCCACCCAAGGCACTCACAGATCAACACCCCAGTCCTAAACTAACTCAACACATCCAGATCTAAGCCTTCATCACTTGATTCAGCAGACCCTCAAGTTCCCGCGAAAGTTTCCAGCCATGTCTGAGAAGCAGCCGTGGGGCAGGGGCAGGCAAGGAGCGAGCTGTTCTGGGCCTGGCTGCTCAGGGCCTGGCCTCTGTTGCTCTGGTTCATTCCACAACCAGCTGCTCCGGGTCTGGTCACTGCCGCTCCCGACCTAGTTGCTCTGGACTTGGCTGCTGCTGCTCCGGGCCTGGCCGCTCCCAGCCTGGCAGCCGCTGCTCCGGGCCTGGCCGCACCAGCCCCGCCTGCTCCCCCGGGCCTGGCCGCTCCCAGCCTGGCAGCCGCTGCTCCGGGCCTGGCCGCACCAGCCCCGCCTGCTCCCCCGGGCCTGGCCGCTCCCAGCCTGGCAGCCGCTGCTCCGGGCCTGGCCGCACCAGCCCCGCCTGCTCCCCCGGGCCTGGCCGCTCCCAGCCTGGCAGCCGCTGCTCCGGGCCTGGCCGCACCAGCCCCGCCTGCTCCCCCGGGCCTGGCCGCTCCCAGCCTGGCAGCCGCTGCTCCGGGCCTGGCCGCACCCGACCCGGCTGCTCCCCCGGGCCTGGCCGCTCCCAGCCTGGCAGCCGCTGCTCCGGGCCTGGCCGCACCCGACCCGGCTGCTCCCCCGGGCCTGGCCGCTCCCAGCCTGGCAGCCGCTGCTCCGGGCCTGGCCGCACCCGACCCGCCTGCTCCCCCGGGCCTGGCCGCTCCCAGCCTGGCAGCCGCTGCTCCGGGCCTGGCCGCACCCGACCCGCCTGCTCCCCCGGGCCTGGCCGCTCCCAGCCTGGCAGCCGCTGCTCCGGGCCTGGCCGCACCCGACCCGCCTGCTCCCCCGGGCCTGGCCGCTCCCAGCCTGGCAGCCGCTGCTCCGGGCCTGGCCGCACCAGCCCCGCCTGCTCCACCGGGCCTGGCCGCTCCCAGCCTGGCAGCCCCAGCGGTCTTTTATACCTTCCAGGGTTGGTCTTTGGGGTTGAGGGTTATTAATTTTCATAACAGTTTTTGGCATTATAGAGACATGAAGTATGTATAAAGAAGCACCCTTTCAAGATGTACTCCATAAATTCTCCAATATTCTTTACCAAAATGGAAGTTTTCCTGTCACTGTCCTGTAGAGCACTACCCCCTTGTTTCAGACATCCACCTTTGGTCCTCATAGAGTTTGAACCAGAACTCTCGGGCCATATAGGGGCAGTGCTACAGAAGGTAGTCAGTTTCTCTTCCATAAATACCCTACTGAGGGCCAAAGTCTGCTAATTTAACATTCATCTCACCATCTAGAAGTATGTTCTCCAGCTTTAGGTCCCAATGTACGATGTATCTCTGGTGACAGTAATGGACCCCTCATAGTCAATGTCGAAACAGGGCTTGGGGTTCTTTTTCCGTCCTGGGGCTACAGTTCTCTAAGTAGTCAAATAATGTTCCTTCATTGGCATGTTCCATGAAGAGATCCTCGGTGGTAATGACTTCAAACAACTTGGTGATATTAAGATGATCTTGTTCTTTAAGAGAATCAATCTCTTGGGGAACATCATAGAAACTCTGCCAGTTGACAACTTTCACAGCCACCTCTGTGCTGGTGTCAATGTGCCTCACCAGCCTAACCTCGCCAAAGGATTCCTTGTCCATGATGTTGAGTATGAGGTAGTTGCCAGTATGGCACTCCTCGTTGGCAGAGATGGAGCAAAATCATCACACTTGGGTGACTTAAAGAAATAAAAAATATTCTGATATCTGATCCCACTGAAGTGGATTTCTGGGAGGGAGAGAAAGAGGAGGAAGAGGAGGAGGAAAAAAATGAGAAAATAAGCCAACTAGTCCATGTCCAACAGGTAATTACCAATCAGCTTCCTGAGATCTAACAGACTAAAACCTTAGCCCAGCCAGGACCTTATACAGGAGTGATTTGCAATTCCATCACAGTGGCACCTTATGGATCAATCATGGCTGGGAATAAACCACAGTGGTTTTCTCACTTTTTAGCCTCATGACCTTTTTCTCACTTTTTAATTCCAGGACCCCCAAAGAGCTTTTTGTTTATGTCTGATATTAAAGATTAATATTTATTTAATCTTTATTTTTTAGAAATGAAAATCTATAAGATGCAAAAAAAGGAAAGAAAGAAAGAAAGAAAAAAAGAAAGAAAGAAAGAAGTCTGACTTACATTCATGCTCCACGTCTCAGTTCAAATATCACCTGCTTAGAGAGGACTTCCCTGATCATCCATTCCTACCCACCTCACCCAGTGTATCACGTTTTGAATTTTCATACCACTGACCACAGTGCAACTGATTCTTTTTTAAAAATTCTCACCCAAAGGTATGTTTTTATTGATTTTCGTTTTTTAGAGAGGAAAGGAGAGGGACATCGATTAGCACCCCAACCTGGGATCAAACCCGCAACCTATGCAATTGCCTTGACTGGGCAATGAACCTGTGACCTTCTGTGCATGGAATGATGCTACAGCAAACTGAGCTAGACCGGCCAGAGCAGTGTTGCTAATTCTTATTTACTATATGTCCTTTCCATGAAGGGGGAGCATGACTGACTGCAATGTTCCCTGTGTCTAGTGATTGGCAACAAAGTATTTAATAAATACTTGTTCATTAGATTTAATATAGGAATTTGAGGGAATGGAAGAAAATATGGGCAACTACTATTTAATCAGTGATTCATAAAAAAGAAATCTTTCAGAAATTCATGTTCTGTCAAGCTGGCATGGCTCAGTGGTTGAGCATGGACCTATGAGCCAGAGGTTGCAGTTTGGATTCCTGTTTGGGGCACATGCCCGGGTTGCGGGCTAGATCCCCAATGTGGAACGTGTATCATTTCTATCTCTCTCTACCTCTCCCTTCCTCTCTGAAACCAATAAAAATATATTTATAGCCCTAACCAGTTTGGCTCAGTGGATAGAGCGTTGGACTGTGGACTGAAGGGTCCCAGATTCGATTCCAGTCAAGGGCACATACCTTGGTTTCAGGGCACATCCCCAATGGGGGGTGTGCAGGAGGCAGCTTATTGTTTCTCTCTCATCAATGTTTCTAACTTTCTATCCCTCTCCCTTCATATATATATATATATATATATATATATATATATATATATATATATATATAAAATACAGTGCTCCCCCCCCCATCAATTTGAGCCTCTCCAGCTAAAGGTCTCTCTGGAGATAGTAGGGGATTTTTCTGAATTTTTTCATTCCCATAAGGTAGACCACAGCGCTAGCAAGTCAGTCTCCAAACCTCATCCCTGACTGGTGAAAAATTCATCCCAAACACTAAAAAACAACTCTTCAGTAGACCCAAGGATGTGTGCTTTCTGATTCAGAGTGGAGTAGGTAAGCCTCATTTAGGCGATATGTAAAAGAGTGGTGATAAGCCTCTTGTCTCACCTGTCAAACAGCAACGTATACAAAAATGAGAAATTATTAAGGATGGGATCCTCCTGGCAGAAGCCCAGCATAGATGATTTCCCTACTTTGCAACGAAGCGAGGTTTCGGCATCCATTCTCTCGCAGGTAGAAGGTAACGGACTTCGCCAAACGGCCTTCCAGCTCCGGGCGTTGGAGGAAACGCCTCCCTGCTCTCCCGCACTCTGATAGGCCCGCTAAACAGAGAGCCGCGTCCCGATTGGTTAGCGGGAACGTTCCGTGCGGCGCTTTCTGGGAGATGTAGTCCTGGTAGCCGCTGGCTCCCGGGACTAGCGAGTGTGACGTTGGAGATTTTAGCACAGAGAGAGCTGAGATGGTAAGGAGGCGGGCGCGTCTGGAAACGGGGTGCGGGGAGTGCTGAGATTCGTGTGAAGAAACCGAAGGGTTCAAAATTAAAGGGAAGTGACAGCCGTGGGCTTGCAGAAAAGTACGGACCCTTCTCCGAATGGGGGCGTAGGGCGTTGAGAGTTGGGGAGCGCAAGTTCCACAGCAAATCGGATGCTAGCAACTGTCGCCTCAGCAACAGCTCCGGACACCTCCGACCCCGCCCCCGGCCTGCACGCCTAGGAAAAAGGAGGAGACCAGGAGGAGACCGAGCTGTTTAAATTGCTTTGGGGGACCGGAAACCGGTTTGACTCAGTGGATAGAGCGCCGGCCTGTGGACTGAAAGGTCCTGGGTTCGATTCCGGACAAGGGCATGTACCTTGGTTGTGGGCACATCCCCAGCAGTGAGTGTGCAGGAGGCAGCTGGTCGATGTTTCTCTCTCATTGATGTTTCTGGCTCTCTATCCCTCCCCTCCCCCTTCCTCTCTGTAAAAAATCAATAAACTATATTTAAAAAAATAAATAAATTGCTTTGGGGTTGCCCTGGCTGGTTTGGTCAGTGGACAGAACATTGCACTGCAGATTGGAAGGTCCCGCGTTCGATTCCAGTTGGGGGCACATGATCGGGTTGCGGGTTCGATCCCCAGTGGGGGTGTGCAGGAGGCAACCGATCAGTGATACTCTCATCATTGAAGTTTCTGTCTCTCTCTCCCCCCCTCTCCCTTATTCTCTGGAATCAATAAAAAATATTTTTAGCCGAGACCGGTTTGGCTCAGTGGATAGAGCGTCGGCCTGAGGACTGAAGGGTCCGGGGATCGATTCCAGTCAAGAGCATGTACCTTGGTTGCGGGCGCATCCCCGGTGGGGAGTGTGCAAGAGGTTCTCTCTCATCGATGTCTCTAACTCTCTATTCCTCTCTCTTCCTCTCTGTAAAAAAAAAAAAAAAAAATCAATAAAATATATATTTTTAAAAAGTCAAATTATGGAGTCATTTATAAAAAATATATATTTTTAAAAAAAATAAATGGCCTTGGGGTTGGGTGGGGAGTGTGGCTCTTTTCTTCACGGCTCCTGAGGTTCCGTGGGCGTGACCGGGTCCCGGACCCCGCCCCATTCCCCCACCGATTGGCCCGCAGCCCCTGTGGGTGGGGCGTGGGGCGGGCCCTTCCCGCCCGCTGCGCGCGAGGACCTCCGGGTTTCCTAGAGAGGACTCGGAAGTGCTCTGGGGGCTGGATTTGTGGCTCCAGCCCGTCGGTCAGGGACAGCTTGGACTTGCTTACTTCCGGCGAGGAAGTGTGGAGAAGTGTCGCCTTTGGTTTTCTCTCCGTCTGTGGAAAGAAACCCATCTCTCCAGCCTGGATTGCAGGAGCTCGATCGTCCAGGAGAGCTCCCCGAGGCTGGAGTCTGGAGGAGAGGGAATGGGCGTTGCATCCAGACGGGGGCCCATCCTAACCTTGACCGCGCCGGTCTCCCGGGTATACGGGGTCAGGGTCGATTCCGAGAAATCCAGGTCCAAATCTGCCCTTATTACCCTGCTTCCCTTCGGGACCCATGAAGCCTCCTGTTGGTCTGCCAGGCCCTTCTGGCTTGGAAGACAGGACCAGTTTTGATCCTTGCAATGTTTTTGACCCCTGTTCTAACTTAAGTTTGACTTAAAGATAGAAGAAGCGACTGCGTCTGGACTAGTTAGTAAGTCTTGTCCTATTAATATTCTTTGCCAGTTACATTGTGTGGGTTGGGCCTGATGTCAGATTTTTTTTATGGCTTTCATTTACATTTTTTTTTAAATGTTGGTATTTCATGGGTGGAGTTACAGCTGACTTGTTCATATTTTAAATGAATTACTCTGTTGAATGGTCGTCTTTCGTATAAATGATCTCTGTGTCACCTCTTTGCTAATAATAATTTCCAATATATCAGTAGGTTGCACAATAATGAACGTGCCCTCCAGAAGACCCTAAAGAGCAGAGAACGTATTTGATCAGTGTAAAACAGCTGAAGTGGAGAGACATCCTTCCAGGTTTGGAATGATAATGACAGAATCTGGGGAAGTCGTAGACTTGGACCCCCCAGCTGAGACTTCACAAGAGCAAGAAGACCTTCTGATAGTGAAGGTGGAAGAAGAAGACTGCACCTGGATGCGGGCGTACAGTCCGCCCGTATTTGAGACTTTTTACCAGCGCTTCAAGCACTTCCAGTACCATGAGGCATCAGGCCCGCGGGAGGCCCTCAGCCAGCTCCGGGTGCTCTGCTGTGAGTGGCTGAGGCCCGAGCTGCACACCAAGGAGCAGATCCTGGAGCTGCTGGTGCTGGAGCAGTTCCTGACCATCCTTCCTGAAGAGTTCCAGCCCTGGGTGAGAGACCATCACCCGGAAAATGGAGAAGAGGCTGTGGCTGTGGTAGAAAATATACAGAGGGAACTAGAGGAACGCAGACAACAGGTGAGTGGAAGAGGAGACGTTAGAGCAATGAGGAAGGACAGGAAGAGAGTTGAGCTGCTGAGCAGGGGTGAGATCCTTAGCACTGTTGGTGCTTCATTTATATTTTTTTGTTCTGGGATTAGGTACACTGTGGAGATTTCCTGCCACTCCAGCAAAGAGGAGCAGTATCCAGTGTGCTAACCTGGAGAAGACAATCTGTGATTTAATTTAGTTTTTAAATTACTATATTTTTTTGAGTGACATGATACAAAATTCAAAAGGCACTTAGGTACTAATGAAAGTAAGTTTCCCTCCCACCTCTAGTTCCTCAGATGCCTAATTCTCCTCACCAGAGGCAACCGTTTACATGAGACATGCATATCCTTACGAAGGTATACTGTATTCTGTATATATGAACATATATGTATATGACATATTTAAAACACAGGTGTTTTAAAATCACTGTGTATTTCTGCCTCTTGCTTGGTTTGTTTCCTGTCAGTGCAAATGAGTGACCTCACTCTGAAACTGTGCTATATTCCATTGTATGGATATACCATAATTGAACTATTGAGGGCCATTTAAGTTGTTCCTTTAGGTTGTTTCTGAATTTTTACTACAAACAACTTTGCTGCATGTATATCTTTACATACACCATTAATTACAGAATGAATGCTAAGTCCATTTGTTGGCTCAGAAGTCATGCGTTTGTAGTTTTGACAGTTATTGATAGATTGCCCTATATAGAGGTTATTCCCAACAGCAATATATGAGAGAATTTTGTTTCTTGTAGTCTGATAACACAATATTATCTTACCCAACTTTTGATTATTGTCAATATGAAAGAATGGGTTAGTTTGACCATAATACATATTTTAAAGGGCTATGCATATGTCCTTTTATTGCAAATTATCTGTTTCTATTATTTACCTTTTAGGAAAAGTAAGGACTGTCTGTAATTGAATTGTAATTGTTATTTTTCCACATTGTTGCTTGTCTTTGCTTATGAAGATTTTTGCTTTGCAGGGTGTTTTAATTTTTATGCAATCAGCTTATACTTTTTACATTGTTTTCAGGATTTTGGGCCATACTTAGAAAGGGCTTCTCAACTACAATATTATGAGAAATTTTTCTCATAGTTTTGTCTTTTTTAAAAAAAATATATTTTATTGATTTTTTTACAGAGAGGAAGGGAGAGAGATAGAGAGCTAGAAACGTCAATGAGAGAGAAACATCGACCAGCTGCCTCTTGCACACCCTCTACCGGGGATGTGCCCACAACCAACGTACATGCCCCTGACCGGAATTGAACCTGGGACCTTTCAGTCCACAGACCGACACTCTACCACTGAGCCAAACCAGTTCCGGCTCATAGTTTTGTCTTAAATTTTTTTTACTCTTACGTTTTTTATACTTTACACTGGAATTCATTTTGGTTTAGGTTGTTTGATATGGTTAAAACTTTATTTTTTCACAGATATTTACCAGGTTGCCCTAGCAACTTATAATCTACCTTTTCTCTTATTAAAATGCCTCTATATTTACATACCAAATTTCTGCATGTATTTAGGTCCTTTTGTGATCTTTTTATTCTATTTCATTGATGTCACTATGTGTTCATGTGTTAGTATTTTAATTATTTGAGCTCTATGAAATGCTTTGGTATATGATAGAGCTACCCTTCCTTCTTCCAAACTATCTATGTATATAAAAGCTTAAGTGATCAAACCACTAAACAACCCGTTGACTGGTTGCTATGATGTGCACTGGCCACCAGGGGCAGACGCTCAACGCACAAGATTGGGCTCCCTCCTGTCTGGATTGGGCCTGTGGGGATTGGGTCGAAACTGGCTATCCAACATTCCCTGAGGAGGTCCGGATTAAAAGAGGGTGCAGGCCAGACCAAGGGACCCCACCAGTGCACGAATCTGTGCAATGGGCCTCTAGTGTTTTAATATTTTCTCATTTTCCTTATGATATTTATTTAGTTTTTAGTACCCCCAAAATTCTGTTGGTATTGCATGAAACAATATATTAATCTAGGGAGAATCAATATCTTTATGTTGTTAACATCTTGTATTTTCTTACTCATTTATAATCTGAACTTCTACCTTTCTCTTGTTGCTAGACTCGTACTCTCTTAAACTTTAATTCTCTTTTTATAGCAAAGAAACAAAGGATTATAGGTCTACAAGAGGTTGAAACTAGTTAGAGAATTTCCCTCGTTTTCCATAGCCATTGCACTTCATTGTAAAGTACTAACTCCTTATCCTTTACCTCTGGGTAAGGGGTACTTCAACATTCCAGAATATCCTCAGGCTCTTCAGCTGGCTTAGCTCACCCATGAGGCAAGTGGGCAGCAGAGAGAGTTACTATTGACCTGAAGTCAGACCCTGTAGCTCTCCTGAATGATTGTTGTACAGATGGGAATGTTTGAACCTTTCTTTGCTTCTTTCAGGGCATAAGGTTCACGTTGACATCTAGTTAATACTTTTTAAAACCTAATTTGGGCCCAGCTGGTGTGGCTCAGTGGTTGATCCCTGGTCAGGGCACATGCCAGGGTTGTGGGCATGACCCCCAGTGTGGGGCATGCAGGAGGCAGCCAATCTGACTCTCTCTCATCATTGATGTTTGGCTCACTGGATAGAGCGTCAGCCTGCGGACTGAAGGGTCCCGGGTTTGATTCCTGTCAAGGGCATGTACCTTGGTTGCAGGCATATCCCCAGTAGGGGGTGTGCAAGAGGCAGCTGATCGATGACTCTCTCTCATCGATGTTTCTAACTCTCTATCTCTCTCCCTTCCTCTTTGTAAAAAATCAATAAAATATATATTTTTTTTAAAGTAATTTAGGACATAAATGGACAAACTATTTTCTATCTTTTTAGTAATATTCAAAAGCATAATTTAAAACAAAAAACATTTTTTAATACAAGATTGACAGCATATATTACACATTTGCCTCTTTCGGTGTGATATGCAGCCCGTTTTTGGAAGAGATACAGAGAAAAATAATTTCTTAGTGGTAGTCGCGATTTGAGGCCCACGGCCTCCATAAGGTATCTTAGGAAGGCCAATGAGGGTCAAGTTTGTTTGCCTTTCTCTGTCTGTCTCCTATATCCTAACATTTTCCCTCAACTTTATCTCCAGGCAGTTCTTGTCTCTGCAAACCTTTCCCCAGGCTTTCCCCTTCTCCTTTCTCAGTCTCTCTGTAGAGTTTCCTGACATCAAGGGCTGTTTTGGTTCTTTGTTGCCCACAGTGCCCTTTGGCATACTTGGCATCATCTTAACTCTGTTCTAAGTGGGTCAACGAAGACACAAACTTTCACACAGAATATTTGCTACAACTGTTTTGCAACTGCCTCTTAATGTAACTCTTGTACCACATTTTGCCAGTAGTAAGAGGGTTAAAATCAAAAGTGTTTTGAAACCATAAGGGATGGGGAAAGAGGATGATGATTCTATCTCAGTGCAGGATCTATTACCTGTTAGGTTGCTGCTGTGCTAGTACCTTCCAGAATAGACAGATTCTGGAGACTGGCTGTGGTAGAGTAATTTTGAACAAGAGCCAAGAACAGAAAGATTGAGGTCTGTTACACATTGGACATGAACTAGCTTCAGTCTTGGTGTTGGTCTGCTGGAGAACCATGTGTGACTTCCTGAGTCCTATAATTGACCTTTCCAAACTCCTTTCTCACCTCTCTCCCTCTTTACTAAACTTGACCCTCATTGGCCTTCCTAAGATACCCTCTTTCTGCCTGAGAGCCTTTGCTTATATTGTTTTCTCTGCCTGCAACACTTCTTACCTTTCTCCTGGCTGGCTTCTTTCATCCTTTAGGTGTTTACTTAAGTGACACTTCCTCAGAAAAGCCTTTGATTGGCTACCCAATCTAAAGTAGATCTCATGCCCAGCTGGTGTGGTTCACTGGTTGAGCATCAAGCCCTGAACCAAGAGGTTACTGGTTTGATTCCCTTCAGGGCACATGCCCTGGTTGTGGGCTTGATCCCCAATAGGGGATCCTTCAGGAGGCAGCCGATTCATCAATGTTTCTATCTCTTCTCCCTCTCCCTTCCTCTCTCAAATCAATAAAAATATATCTTAAAAAATGAAGTAGATCTCATTTGATCTGTCTTATTGTACTTCCTTCTCCTTTCTAACATATAACATAGTCTGTAATTACGTCCTAATATTTATTTATGTGTTGAAATGTTTAATGGAGGTCTTCTTCAACTAGATATAAACTATGTATCATCAGTGCCTGACACCTTATTGACCTAGCACATTATTTAGTATAGGAACAAATACAAAAATAACGTAAATTTACTGGATTCTTTAATAGCCTTCTCATTAATGTACTGATTGGTGTGGTTGTTAGATTGTGGCATGTCCGGAAGGCCTTTCTCAGAAGGCGGTGCCATCAGGAGCCATGCAGGAGTCCTTCCGTCACCAGCTTCTGTCTCTGGACCCCCAGCCTGAACAAGAGCCACAGAAGCCTCATCTGGAGGAAAATGGTGAGGATCTATGATTTGGTGGAATAGATGTGGCCAGAGAGTGGGGCCCTGGCATGTGGGTAAGCTGTATGTATAAGAGAGAGACTTCAGGCTAGGGAGCTTCTGTAATCAGTAAGATTTGGAGGTTGGCAGGGTATGGGGATCTGGAATTGAGTCTCTGGTATTAAGAGAAGTCAGGTGGACTAGCTGGTTGAGCATTGACTTACGAACCAGGAAGTCATGGTTTGATTCCCGGTCGGGGCACATGCCAGGTTGTGGGCTTGATCCCTAATATGGGGCCTACAGGAGACAGCTGATTCATGATTCTCTTTCATCATTTATGTTTCTATCTCTTCCTCTGCCTTCCTCTCAGAAATCAATAAAAATATATTTTAAAAAAAAGACAGGTCAGCTTAAAGGATGGCTAGGAACTATAGCATAGTTCTATTCAAAAGCTATAGATCAGATTATGAGAACTTCATAGGTACTGTTAAAAGATTTACAACTTCATAGATTTTATTTTATTTTATTTTTTATTTATTTATTTTTTTTAATTTAAAAAATATATTTTATTGATTTTTTTTTTTTTTTTTACAGAGAGGAAGGGAGAGGAATAGAGAGTTAAGAACATTAATCAGCTGCCTTCTGCACATCCCCTACTGGGGATGTGCTCACAACCAAGGTACATGCCCTTGACTGGGATTGAACCTGGGACCCTTCAGTACACTGGCCAACTCTCTATCCACTGAGCCAAACTGGTTAAGGCTTAGGATTTCTGCTAATTTTAATATTTTATTGCTGGTACACAGAAATGCAATTGAGTTTTGAATATCAACCTTGTATCCTGCAACCTTTCATTCCAGTGCCTTTCTGTAGATTCTTTTTTTTTTTTTTTTTTTTCACTTTTTTAAAAATAAATTTTTATTGTTCATATTACAAATGTTCCTTTTTCTCCCCTCCCTCCCATTGCTCTCCTCCACCAGGTTCCCATCCCACCCTCTGCCCTTTCCCCACTCCCCATTGTCCTCATCCATAGGTGCACAGTTTATGTTCAGTCTCTTCCTACATCCCCCTCTCCCCTTTTCCCCCAAGAATCATCAGTTCACTCCCCTTCCATACCTCTGATTCTATTATATTCAACAGTTAATATGTTCATCAGATTTTTTTTTAATTTCCTTGGTTTTTAGATTCACTTGATAGTTGAATGTATTCACTTTAAAGGACTATACTTTATTTTTACATTTTATCTTACTTTTTTTTTTTTTTAAATCAATCTTTATTGTTCATATTATTACAAAGGTTCCTCATTTCTTCCCCCCTCCACCAGGTTCCCACCCCACCCTCCGTCCCCCCCCTCCCCCATTGTCCTCATCCATAGGTGCAGTTTATGTTCAGTCTCTTCTTCCCTCAATTTCCCCAATAGTAAATCCCTTTTCAGATAGTAAATCAGATACTTAGCATTTTCTCATATCAATAATACCTCCACATGCCCAATGATACACTTCACACAAAAGACATTTCCCAATAGGTCCACCAGCCTCATCCAGGCCCCACCCAAGGCACTCACAGATCAACACCCCAGTCCTAAACTAACTCAACACATCCAGATCTAAGCCTTCATCACTTGATTCAGCAGACCCTCAAGTTCCCACGAAAGTTTCCAGCCATGTCTGAGAAGCAGCCGTGGGGCAGGGGCAGGCAAGGAGCGAGCTGTTCTGGGCCTGGCTGCTCAGGGCCTGGCCTCTGTTGCTCTGGTTCATTCCACAACCAGCTGCTCCGGGTCTGGTCACTGCTGCTCCCGACCTAGTTGCTCTGGACTTGACTGCTGCTGCTCCGGGCCTGGCCGCTCCCAGCCTGGCAGCCGCTGCTCCAGGCCTGGCCGCACCTGACCCGCTTGCTCCCCCGGGCCTGGCCGCTCCCAGCCTGGCAGCCGCTGCTCCGGGCCTGGCCGCACCCGACCCGGCTGCTCCCCCGGGCCTGGCCGCTCCCAGCCTGGCAGCCGCTGCTCCGGGCCTGGCCGCACCCGCCCCGCCTGCTCCCCCGGGCCTGGCCGCTCCCAGCCTGGCAGCCACTGCTCCGGGCCTGGCCGCACCCGACCCGGCTGCTCCCCCGGGCCTGGCCGCTCCCAGCCTGGCAGCCGCTGCTCCGGGCCTGGCCGCACCCGACCCGCCTGCTCCCCCGGGCCTGGCCGCTCCCAGCCTGGCAGCCGCTGCTCCGGACATGGCCGCACCCGACCCGCCTGCTCCCCCGGGCCTGGCCGCTCCCAGCCTGGCAGCCGCTTCTCCGGGCCTGACCGCACCCGACCCGCCTGCTCCCCCGGGCCTGGCCGCTCCCAGCCTGGCAGCCGCTGCTCCGGGCCTGGCCGCACCAGCCCCGCCTGCTCCCCCGGGCCTGGCCGCTCCCAGCCTGGCAGCCGCTGCTCCGGGCCTGGCCGCACCCGACCCGACTGCTCCCCCGGGCCTGGCCGCTCCCAGCCTGGCAGCCGCTGCTCCGGGCCTGGCCGCACCAGCCCCGCCTGCTCCCCCGGGGCTGGCCGCTCCCAGCCTGGCAGCCGCTGCTCCGGGCCTGGCCGCACCCGACCCGTCTGCTCCCCCGGGCCTGGCCGCTCCCAGCCTGGCAGCCGCTGCTCCGGGCCTGGCCACACCCGACCCGCCTGCTCCCCCGGGCCTGGCCGCTCCCAGCCTGGCAGCCGCTGCTCCGGGCCTGGCCGCACCAGCCCCGCCTGCTCTCCCGGGCCTGGCCGCTCCCAGCCTGGCAGCTGCTGCTCCGGGCCTGGCCGCACCCGACCCGCCTGCTCCCCCGGGCCTGGCCGCTCCCAGCCTGGCAGCCGCTGCTCCGGGCCTGGCCGCACCTGACCCGGCTGCTCTGGGCCCGGCTGCCCCGGGCCCGGCCGCTCCGAGCCTGGCCACTCCTGACCTGGATGCTCTGGGCTTGGCTACTGCTGTTCTGGGTCTGGCTGCTCCCACCCCGGCTGCTCTGGGCCCGGCTTCTTCGTGCCCGGCCACTCCGGGTCTGGGTGTTCCTGGACTGGCCACCCTGGGCTTGGCCGCCTCCGCCTCATGCCTGGCTGCCACTGCCCCAGGTCTGGCTACTCCAGTGCTGGCTGTTGATGCTCTGGTTCTGGCTGCTGTTGTTCTGGGGCCTGGCCGTTGCTGCTCCTGGCCTGGCTGCCACTGCCTTGTGCCTGGCCACTCTAGGCCTGGCCGTCGCTGTTCCAACATTCTGTCCCTTTTTTTTTCTTTTTAAAACTCATTTATGTTGCAATGTTGGCTGGTGAGTTGAGTTCTGACTTAGTCTTTGGTTTTTCAAGATCTTCTTCGTATTCTTTCTTAAGTAATTTTACTATTTTTTGCTCTCACTTGATTTCTTCACATTGAGAACTTCTTTGGTTTCTTCCTCCTTGTCCTGGGAGCTCAGTAGGTTGGCCTGTGGCACCCCTTTGTTCTCCGCGGGCTCCTGTGCTGCTTCAGCCTGTTGCCGGGACGGCGCCGCATAGATTTTATTTTAATGCTTAAGTAAAAAAAAAAAAGTTTCCAGTTCCTAATTGCTTTCTTTTTCTTTTCTTTTTTTTTTTTTTTTTTTTTTTTTTTTTTTTTAAATATATTTTATTGATTTTGTACAGAGAGGAAGGGAGAGAGATAGAAACACCGATGAGAGAGAGTCATCGATCAGCTGCTCTTGCACACCCCCTACTGGGGATATGCCCACAACCAAGGAACATGCCCTTGACCGGAATCGAACCTGGGACCCTTCAGTCCCCAAGCCGACGCTCTATCCATTGAGCCAAACCGGTCTTGGCTCTTTTCTTTTTTTTTTATTAAATTATTATCTGTGTACATATTTTACCATTGCTCCCCCTCCCATACATACCCACTCTGCTTTCATTTTTTTTTTTAAATTCTTTATTGAATTTTGCTTTCATTCTTATTTCAAGCAGTGCTTCACCATGACCTTTAGAGCATTTGTTTTCTCTTTCTTTTTTTTTCCCCTCTATTTTTATTAACCTGAATTATATATACAGAGAAGAAAAGTGAACAGCTTATCTTATTTATGATGATATATGTCCACAAGTCTGTAATCTCTAACCAGAAACTCTTGCTATCAGATATATATATATATATATTTTTTTAAATATATTTTATTGATTTTGTACAGAGAGGAAGGGAGAGAGATGGAGAGTTAGAAACATCGATGAGAGTGAGTCATCGATCAGCCGCCTCTTACACACCCCCCCACCGGGGATATGCCCGCAACCAAGGTACATGCCCTCCACCGGAATCGAACCCGGGACCCTTCAGTCCCCAAGCCGACGCTCTATCCATTGAGCCAAACAGGTCTCGGCAGCTATCAGATATATTTTTTGATATAATGGTATATACCATTTATATATGGTATATAAATCACATTATCTTACTAAATCTGAAAAATTCTGAATTCTAAATTTTTTTTCACACTACCAACAGGATTTGACATGGCACCCCATATTCACACACATTCATATTTCAGCATTGAAATGTATGTATATATACAGCAGTGGATTAAATAAAATCTTTGATTAGCTTCATATATGTTCTAGTTAGGTTTTGTTGTCAAATTAGTTCAGTGCCTAACTCATGAAAAAAAAAAAAAAAAAGATCTTTGGTACGTAGAGCTTTGGGATTTCAGAATTATGGTTTAGAAATTGTGAACTTGTATTTCCTGTTTGGCCCCAGGCCTTTTTCTAGGTTCCCCTTAGCAGTCAAGGCCTTTCACTTGATCTGTCTGATGTCTCTAATCTTTTCCAGCTTTTCTTTCACTGTGGTAATAATAATAAAAGCACAGCAGCAGCATCTATTATGTCTATGGTGTTTACTATGTGTCAGGACCTGTTCTAAACCTTAGTTGTAGGAATTCATTTAACCTTCAATGTACCAGGAAAAATAATCTTCACTTACCATCTGGGGCCAATGGGTCCTTTTGATTTTCTTAAAAAAAAAAAAAAAAAAAAAAAAAAAAAAAATATATATATATATATATATATATATATATTTTACAGAGAGGAAGGGAGAGGAATAGAGAGTTAGAAACATTGATGAGAGAGAAACATTGATCAGCTGCCTCCTACACACCCCCTACTGGGGATGTGCCCGCAACCAAGGTACATGGCCTTGACTGAAATCAAACCTGGGACCTTTCAGTCTGCAGGCCAACACTCTATCCACTGAGCCAAACCGGTTTCGGCATCATTTTCTTTTTTAAATTTAAGTCATTTTTATACATAATAACAGAAGAATCAAAGGATAAAAACAATTTTTTAAAAAAATACTTTTTATTGGTTTCAGAGAGAAAGGGAGAGAGAGAGAAAGATAGAAACATCAATGATAAGAGAAAATCATCAATCTCTTGCCTGCCCTCACTGGGGATGGAGCCCACAACCCAGACAAGTGTCCTGACCAGAAATCAAACTGTGATTTCCTGGTTCATAGGTCAGTGCTCAAGCACTGAGCCACACCGGCTGAGCGATGATAACAATTTTTAAAGAAGTTTTAATAAGAATTAAACTTCTTTGTATCAAGTGCATTTTTATAATTAAAACATTATAAAAAACTAAAAAATACTGTCACAAAGTACTGTCTCTTTAGCAAAATCAAAAACTGTCTTTTTAGAAAATAGGTGGTCCAAAATCCTGTGGTGGTCCAAAATATTGCATGATGAAATCCTTCCCGTTGAATGGCTCACTGGATAAGATGGGTCATATTTCTTTTATGAAATTAAAAATGTATCGTTTATCATTGAATCTTGAGTTTGAGAAAGGTCACCAGGATATTATCATTTGTACACTCATTCTAAGATTTCCCTTGTATTTTCAGTTTTATCATTATCTCAAAATTTGTGCACTGGGGGTGGTCCCTCAGCCCAGTATGCCCCCTCTCACAGTCCAGGAGCCCTTAGAATTTCTGAATTCTCAACTATGCTCGATGAAAGTTAAAAGCAGGTGTCAACAGTCTTATATTTTCTGGAAGATGATGCAAAACTCTGTGCAATGTATTTAATACTTTGGGAAGAGGGAATAATGATGATTTTTTTACTGTTACATAATCCTAAATATTTTTTTATTCTCTCATTTCTTATTATTTTAGTCTTCTATGCTCTCATTGGAAATAATTAATGAATAATGATTAATAAGAATGAAATCATTCTTGGGATGATGAAATAGAAAAATGTTTCATGATACAGGAAAAATAAGATCAGTCAGATCCCAAAATGTTTTCTAAATTTATAAAAGTGTCCAGTGGATCCATATAGAAATTATAATTTAGAATGAGTTTTATTCTATTTTTTAAAATATAAAATGCATTTTCTTTCTGTTCTTCAGAAGATCTCTAAAGGAATAAAAGTCATTTAATTCCAGTCTTTAAAAATAGTTAAAACTGTTCAACATGGAAACCCAAAATTGTGTAATAGGCCTAGTACTCAGTGGAATGAGTAGGTGTTGCTGTGATCCTCATGTTAGAAATTAAGAAACTGCTGAAACTGGTTTGGCTCAGTGGATAGAGCATCGGCCTGTGGACTGAAAGGTCCCAGGTTCCATTCCGGTCAAGGCCATGTATGTTGGTTGTGGGCACATCCCCAGTAGGGGGTGTGCAAGAGGCAGCTGATCGATGATTTCTTCTCATCGACGTTTCTAACTCTATCCCTCTCTCTTCCTCTCTCTGTAAAAAATCAATAAAATATATCTAAAAAGAAATTAAGAAACTAAGGCCTAAAAAGATAAATTTGTTCAAGGTCACAAAGCTACTAAGTGACAGAGCTCATATTTTAACCCTCTGATTCTCACTTTTACCCCATTCTGAGTTATCCTGCCTTTGCTGTGACCACCAGGCCCTCCCAAATACAGAATCCTGTCCTCCTTAAATCATGTCATCTTCCCTTTACTTGCAGAGTCTCATCAGATCATGCTACTCTTTTCTTCTCTTCCTTAGTGTTGCTTCTCTTCTCTGTCCTGTTAGCCAGTTTCTTTATTCCAACAAAATTACTGTGTGAATTACTATTTTTTATACACTGGGGGAGGCTGCATTCCTTTGATAGCGCTGAAGGCTGGTTTTCTGCCCCTGAGACTAATCTGAGTTTGAAAGAGGCAAAATCATTTACTTAAAAGTTAAAGAAGCAATGAGTTTCACAGGAACTTCAAATAGTAAGTGGAATTACTTAGAATGAAATTACTATAATAATTCCAATTATAATTGGAATGTATATTCACAATTACTGTTCAAGTATAGACTGCATTTCATCCCCTTATTTCAAGTCTCCTCTTTTGACTATTTAACCACACTCCTGGTTTCAGACTCTGTTTTTGTCTTTCATCAGTAATCATTATCTCCTTTTTGTATTATTGCTCATTACTTTTTAGTCCTCAGACACCAGCAAACTACATATACATAGACATCCCCAGGACTGAGGGAAACCATAGCAAGGTCTAAACTGTCAGTTATTTGTTTAAGTTGGGGCTCACATAGATTGAGATCTGGATGCACCATGAATCTTGACAAAAACAAGCAGAGGTGACAGCAGAGATTCAAATAGTCACCAGCATCTAGATATCAGACCCTGCAGGCATTACACATGTTATTCACTCCATCTTCAAAGCATCCTTATCCTCACCCCGTTCCACCACTATTTCCTGTGGAAAGGCTTTCCTGCAGTTTTCACCTTCCACTCTCTACTGGGCGTTCCTAGATGGTGAACTTCAAGTGTAGTGTTGGTAATTTACCCTATTCTGGAAAAAGAAGTAAAGCTTCCATGTCTACAATCCCTATTACTGAAGTTTTGGAATGCAAGGACTGTTTTATCTGCCTATTATACTGATAAAACACAGAGTAGGCTTAATACTAAATACTAACTGGTTACTATAAACCAACCATGGTAATTTCTTGGAGAGAGAGCATGTGGATTTGCTAATCATAAAGTGTAGTCCGAGGAGCAGCACCACCACCATCACTTGGAAGCTTGTTAGAAATGCAAAATGTGGAGCCCACACCTGCTAAGCCAGAATCCGCTCTGTGCTTAGACCCCCAGGTGATCTGTTTGCTCATTAAAGCTTCAGACGCCCTGGGCTCTCGGGCTCTAGGAAGTGCTTGAGATCTGAAGCTGGGAGTCTTTGGTTATCCTTTGAAATGATTAGGTTCAGTCTTGGCAGAGCAGAATGGCACGATTTGAAGAGAGCAGCAGGGATTAGCCTGACCAAAGCAGGGAGTCTAGTTTTTTGGGTGGAAGGGTGAATATAGGGTAGGCGTGGGAGAGGCCAGAATGTCAAGGGTCTTGAGAGCCAAGCAGAAGAATCTGGTTTTGACGTGGCAGGGCACCATTGTAGATTCTTGACCAAAAGTGGAATATGGTGGCAATCAGAGCTGGGCAAAGATATCACTAATGCCCCTTTCTCTCTCCCCCTCAGCCCTTCCTGCTCTCCAAGTTTCTTCCCTTCCCCTGAAGGACAGCCAGGAGCTGACAGCCTCACTTCTCTCAGCTGGGTCCCAGGTGAGCTGCATCCCTGTGCCTGCAGTAAGGACCCATGTCTGTTCTTGGGGACGGAGCTGCCTTAATCCTGAATCTTTATCAGTTCTGTCTCTTTAGAGACCAGGCACACCTTGGGTTTATACTTCAATCCTTTTTCCATTCTACCCAATATTCCCCATCCTCTTTGAAGCATAGTCCCTCTTCCTATTTCTTTCCTTAACACTTGCAGTTCTTTGCCTCATCCAAATTGGAACATAGGGAATGGGAATTTAGTGGAAATCTCATGTTTCAGAAGTTGGTGAAAATGGAAGATGTGGCTGATGTGGCTGTTTCCTTTATCCTGGAGGAATGGGAACATTTGGACCAAGCCCAGAAGTCTCTCTATAGGGATGACAGGAAGGAGAATTATGAGAGTATTACCTCCATGGGTAAGACTTACTTTGTCTGCATGGATTAGGAGATATTAATTTTGTTATCTTACAAAGAATATTTCTAGTACATCTTATAAAAGCATGTGTGTTTTAATTGCTATAATGTGCCACTTTTTTTTCTTCCTGTGAGATAATAAATCAACTTTCTCCCCCCTTAGCTTATTTTCATTATTTCCTTCATAATAAGGGTATGACTGAAGTGCTTGGAGAATAATATTTGCAAATACTTTCTGTTACCTCTTTAAAATGAAAGAGCTTAAAGCTAACAGGTTTGGATTTTAACAGATTTGTAGTAATTATTGTAGTCTATTCCTTGACAGATTGACTAATTCTTAGCTGAATAATTATCATTTGTGAAAGTATCTCAGACTTTGCCGAATAAGTGTATTGTAGTAATTATTTTTACAATATTTCAATGTCATTCATTCTTTTCTTTCTAGCTCATAAGTGGCTAGTTGTTCACCCTATTACCATTCTCAAATCACTGGTACCTATTTTATTATGTTTTCCCTGTTGGCATCTACATTTTACATGTTTTTTTTAAATATATTTTTTTATTGATTTTTTACAGAGAGGAAGGGAGAGGGACAGAGAGTTAGAAACATCGATGAGCGAGAAACTTCGACCAGCTGCCTCCTGCACACTCCCTACTGGGAATGTGCCCGCAACCAAGGTACATGCCTTTGACCGGAATCGAACATGGGACCCTTGAGTCTGCAGGCTGACACTCTATCCACTGAGCCAAACCGGTTTTGGCTACATTTTACATGTTATATCCCTTTAAAAAAAAAATCATATTTGTTTTACTTTCTGTTTACTTAAAAACATTTTTTGGTTGTTTTTCTTCTTTTTTATTGTTTCTTTGTCATACCCTTCTTGAATTTTGCATCCTAAATAAGATTTTGCCAGTATTTCTTTTCTTGTTTTAAAATATATTTTATTGATTTTTTACAGAGAGGAAGAGAGAGGGATAGAGAGTTAGAAACATCGATGAGAGAGGAACATTGATCAGCTGCCTCCTGCACACCCCCTACTGGGGATGTGCCCGCAACCAAGGTACATGCCCTTGACTAGAATCAAACCTGGGACCTTTCAGTCCACAGGCCAACTCTCTATCCACTGAGCCAAACCGGTTTCGGCCGGTATTTCTTAATAAGTCATGATCTTGGAAACTAATATTTGATTTTGCTGCCTGGAGCAACTATAAAAAGTTTAGTACTATGGCAGACATTTTGGAGCTTATAGCTTTTAGCTTCTTTTGAATTAATTCTTTTATTTCTTATTAAAAATATTTTATTTATGTCAGAGAGAAAGATAGAGAGTGGTAGATACATCAATGATGAGAGAGAATGATTGATGGATTGATTGATTGCCTCCTGCATGCCCCAACTGGGGATCAAGCCCAACTGGGCATGTGCTCTGATAAGGAATCAAACCGTGACCTGGTTTATAAACCACTTAACCACTGAGCCACACCTGATGGGCTTGAGTGGATTCTTTTTTTTTTCTTTCCTTTTTATATATATTTTATTGATTATTTACAGAGAGGAAAGGAGAGAGATAGAAAGCTAGAAACGTCGATGAGAGAGAAACATCAACCAGCTGCCTTTTGCACACCTCCCAACGGGGATGTGCCCGCAACCAATGTACATGCCCTTGACCAGAATCGAACCTGGGACCCTTCAGTCCACAGACCGACGCTCTACCACTGAGTCAAACCAGCTTCGGCTTGAGTGGATTCTTTTAGAAGAGCCACTATATAACAAGCACACTGGTAGACTTTAGATGAAATACATAGTAGATAATTCCAGATTCCTTTTGAAAAATGTTATACCAGTATACATGGTCATGTGCTCCTGTTGGATTTATATAATTATTCTATATCCCTTAGTCATTTTATTTCTTCTACTATAGGAAGTAGTTAAATTTTCCATTTTTCTTTTATTATTTTAGATTGCAAGTCAAAAAATGACAATATGGAACTCATAGTAAAGCATATTTCTGATGAAGCCAAATCGCACTGGGTGACATCAGGAAACACTGAAAGTGTTGCCCAAAGTCAAGAATTTGGAGACATTAATGACCTTCGCAGCATGGTAGAAGGGTGGCAGGTAAACCCCGGTGTGGGGAAGTCAAGGCAGAACCCTTCTCAGAAGAGAGATCTTGGTGCCATCACAGACTTTAACTGTAAACAAAACACAAATGCTGAGAGAGGTCACAAGTGTAACGACTGCGGTAAATTTTTCCTTCAAGCCTCAAACTTCATTCAACATCGGCGAATCCACACTGGAGAAAAGCCATTTAAGTGTGGTGAATGTGGGAAAAGCTATAATCAGCGTGTGCACCTTACTCAGCATCAGCGAGTCCACACTGGCGAGAAGCCCTATAAATGTCAGGTGTGCGGAAAAGCCTTTCGCGTGAGTTCCCACCTTGTCCAGCATCACAGTGTGCACAGCGGAGAGAAGCCCTACGGATGTACCCAATGTGGGAAAAACTTTGGTCGGCACTCTCATCTGATTGAGCACCTGAAGCGCCACTTCAGAGAGAAGTCCCAAAGATGTATGTGTGAAGAGTTGTATTGGAGAATAAATGGAGGCAAAATGTTTTTATTAGCTTAGAACAGATGAGTTGTGATAAGGGAACAGTAGGAAGGGGCAAAGATTACAGTCTAGTATTTACTAGATGCCTGATGCACGAAATTCATGCAGGAGGGTGGGGCTCTCAGCCTGGGCTGCTCCCTCTCAAGACCTGGGACCCCTCACTCCTAGCCACCCACCTGCTCGCTCCTTACCACTTGGCTCACTGCTCCTTAGGACTGTCGTGGAGGCAGGAGAGGCTCCTTCCACCACTGCCACTGCATTCACCAGCTGTGAGCCTGAGCCTGGCTTCTGGCTGAGCAGCACTCCAGCTGTGGGAATGCACTGACCACCAGGAGGCAGCTTCTGGGTTGAGCATCTTCCCCCTGGTGGTCAGTGTGTGTCATGGCGACCAGTCGTTCTGGTTCCGCTGTAATGGTCGCTGGGCTTTTATTATATAGACTAGGGGCCCAGTGTACGAATTCATGCACCTCGAAAGGAACTGGGGGCTGCAAGGCTGTGGTGGGCACAGGAGTGGGTCTCAGCCCATCCTCTGCGCTCCCGGCCCCTCCCGCTGTGGCCCCGGTCCCCTGTCTGCCAGCAGCCCCACTCCTGCCACCACCGCCCCCACGTACTGCTGGTGCCAGTCCTGCTTGCACCTGCTGACAGTGCAGAGTGATTGGGGCGGGCGCCAGCAGCGGGTATGAGCAGGGCCAGTGTCATCAGTGCTGCCCCGATCACCCCTCAGGGGCAGGGGGAGGTGGAGAAGCCCTCAGTGGCAATCAGGGCCAGCAGCCACTATTTGCACCCGCTGATGGTGCTGAGTGATCAGGACCAGAGCCAAGTGCTGGCAGAGGGTTCAAACTGTGGCTCCAGCAGCGGTTATGAGCACTGGGTGGGACTGCAGTACCTGGGAGCAAGGAGTTTTCAGTAACCACCAGAAGCTCACCCTGATGATAGTGACCCCGCCTCCCCTTGTTCTGGTGCCCCTCCTCACCTACTCCACCATCCCTCTGCAGCCGACACCCACCATGTTCTGCACTCTGCTGTCTGCTGCTGATGCTTGCCATGTTCTGAATGAGCCCCCTGGTGGTCAGCGCACATGATAGCAACGTTGTTCCGCCATTGGATCTGTTTGCATATTAGCCTTTTTTATATAGGATATTTTTATTGTCAAATCAGTAGGCAAAACCCTATGCCCTCTCCCCTGTCCCAACTTTCCTTTCTCCAGAGTTACTTGCTTTTATTATTTTCTTCCAGTAATTCCATATCTCTCTATAAAAGGCTAACTGTATGACCGGTAGCTGTGATGCATACTGACCACCAGGGAGCAGATGCTTAACATATGAGTGCCAAGCAGCAGTGACTTGGCAGCAGTGGTTCTTGGGTGACACACCACGGAACCAGACAGTAGGGAACCCAATTCTGGGGTTTGTCACCTGAGAACCTCCCTCTTGCAATCTGGAACCCTTCGGGAGATGTCAGAGAGCCAGTTTCAGCCAGATCCCCACAGGCCAGCCTGGCTGAAACTGGCTCTCTGACATCTCCCGAAGGGTTCCAGATTGCAAGAGGAAGGTTCAGCTTATTTTTCTTCTACAAAGGAACTGATGTAGAAGCTTATTTTTCTTCTACAACAAGAAGACAGCTTATTTTTCTTCTACAAAGGAACTGATGACCTGCCAGAGGGATCCTGCTCACTCTGCAAACACCCTTTGAGCCATGGTGCTATCCCAGGTGTGGAAGACTGAGAGGACCACGGGTGGTTGGCTTCACAGTGTGTCCGGCCTGTCTCGCCCAGTCCCACCCCGCCAGCTCATTAGTCCTATATAATAAAAGCCTAATATGCAAATTATCCCCTTGGGCAGTCGTTTGACCAGGAGTTCAATCACTTGCTATGGCATGCACTGACCACCAGAGAGTGGCACAGAACATGGCAGGTGTTGGTGACGCTGCGACCTCTTGCCAGCTTCCTAGGGGTAGGGGTGGTGGAGATGGAGGTGCAGTGAGAATGTAGGGTGTCTTCTGAGTTTGCTTTCACTCCCGTGGGATGCCTGGACTCACATGTTGTGGAAGCCCCCCATGCTCAGGTGCTGGGCACCCACCTGCATGGCTGCTTCTGGGTGAGCCAGGACCGCAGAGGATGGTTGGGCTCCCCGTGGGTTTGTGCCAGGAGAGAATGTGCTGCTTGCCTGGCTTCTGTGTGGTGCCACTGGGCAGCCCAAAGACCCACTCTGCACCCCAGCCCATGGCATCCAGCTGTGCTCTCCACATCTCCACATGGGGACTCGGGTGCTGTGACTCACTTAGACAAGGGTGCAAGGGGCCCAATGGCCCCAGTGCTTCCCAGGGCCCAGAGGTCAGCTGGGACCTGCCCTTCCCCGCCAGATGGCCATGCTTCGGTAGCCAGCCAGGCCTGGGGACTGCACCCATGCACGAATTTCGTGCACCTGGCTTCTAGTTTTAAATAATCCTGCTATTGCTTTATTCACCAATTTTAGACATTATTTACTTTCTAGTCTAGTTAATGAGGAGTTGGACTCTCTTAGTTGCTTCTTCCCGTTTTCCAACATTTTCCAATTTAGTTATTTTACTTTAAAATAATAGGAAGTTTAAAGGGAAAAAATTGGGGAGGGGGGAATCACATAATCTCACCATCCTAACTAATAGAATTATTACTGTGTAGTGGATTTCCTTCTATCCTTTTTCATAAGCCTATTTTTACTTTTAAATTTATTTTTAAAATCAATTTCAGAGAGGAAGGGAAAGGAAGAGAAAGATACAAACATCAATAATGAGAGGGAATCATTGATTGGCTGCCTCTTGCATGCTCCACACTGGGGGTTGAGCCCGCAAACTGGTCATGTGTCCTGACTGGGAATCAAACCATGACCTCCTGGTTCATAGGTCAAGAGTCAACCACTGAGCCTCACCAGCTTGGCTTATAGCTTATTTTTATATAGTTATACTCATAGGACACAAATATTAGACATATACATTTTCTAGTGTTGCTTGACCATCCTATTTGTTATTTATTTATTTATTTTTTTTTACTATTTGTTATTTTTGATAATTTGCTATTGTGTGGAGACATCATAATTTATTCAACTGTTCCCTGATTGGACTTACAAAATTTCACTTTTGATAACTCTGTTTATGCCTTTTTCAGTATTTAGGATTGTTTTCTCATAATAGATGCCCAGAAGTGCTATTAGTGGATGAAAGGCCAAAAACATTTTTATGGCTGTCAATGCATATTACTAAATTGATTTTTATATTATTTATTTTTGATTTGAGAGAGAGAGAAAAAGAAAAAAAGAAAGAAACATCATTCAGTTCAAACTTGCAGCCTAAGGATGTTCCCTGACCAGAATCAAACCGTGACCCTTCAATTCATGGGATGAGGCTCCAACCAACTGAGCCTCACTGGCCAGAGCTAAATTGCATCAAGTACATCTATGCATACCCTTTTTACTTCTATTACATCATATATTCATTTGGTTATTTCTTTTTTCTGACAGCTTATTTTTCTTCTACAAAGGAACTGATGACATTTGCATTTCCTCTTTATTTTTTCAGGCAATGACAAAAGAAGTAAGAATACAAAATTGAATGTTAAGAAGAAAATTTTAGAATTTTCAGAAGCAGACATGGAACTATCTGGAAGAATCCAAAAAAATGTTTCTCAAGTTCAAGATTTTGGAGAAGGCAAGTTGGATAGAAAGCAGGGAATTCCCATGAAAGAGATAGTGGGACAACCCTCTTCAAAGAGGATAAATTTCAATGAAGTCACATATGTCCACAAAAAGTCCTCCGCAGAAGAAAGACCACATAAATGTAATGAATGTGGAAAAAGCTTTATTCAGAGTGCCCATCTTATCCAACATCAGCGAATACACACTGGAGAGAAACCATTTAGGTGTGATGAGTGTGGGAAAAGCTATAATCAACGTGTGCACCTAACTCAGCATCAGAGAGTCCACACTGGCGAAAAACCCTATACCTGTCACTTATGTGGGAAAGCATTTAGAGTGAGGTCCCATCTTGTTCAGCATCAGAGTGTGCACAGTGGGGAGAGGCCCTTTAAATGTAACGAGTGTGGGAAAGGTTTTGGGAGGCGTTCACACCTTGCCGGGCACCTAAGACTTCATTCTAGAGAGAAAACCCATCAGTGTCATGAATGTGGAGAAATCTTTTTCCAGTATGTTAGCCTCATTGAACATCAGGTGCTCCACATGGGTCAGAAAAAAGAAAAAAATGGCATTTATGAGGAAGCATATAGTTGGAACTTAACAGTGATGGAAGATAAGAAGATTGAGTTACAAGAGCAGCCTTATAAATGTGATATATGTAGCAAAGCCTTTAATTATAGTCCTGACCTTATTCAACATTACAGAACTCATACTGCAGAGAAAACCTGTAAATCTGATCTATGTAGAGAAAATGGTGGCCAGTGTTCTCACATAAAACAACGTCAAAAAACCTATTCCAACGTGAAATCCTATCAATGTAATGAATGTGGCAGAGGCTTCACTCTGAAGTCACATCTTAATCAACATCAGAGAAGCCATTCTGGTGAGAAACCCTTTCAATGTAAAGAATGTGGAGTGAGTTTCACTTGGAGTTGTAGCCTCTTCAAACATCTGAGAAGTCATGAGAGGACAGATTCCATAAATACCTAAGGTGTATAGGTGTTTCTGTTATAGCACTACTCTTACTCATTTTAGACAAGCTTTCCTGAAGAGAAATCCTACTTCTATGATGAATGTAGTAGCAACTTCAGCTTAACTATAAAATCTCCAGATACGTAACTGAAATCATTCAGTTAGAATTTAGGAACACTGGAGAACAAGAAATAGATAATTTGTTTGCTTTCCCAAGGAGAAATGCTTTTATTAGCATCTTCATGCTTGAGAATGTAGACAAAAAAGAACCCATAGTGCCCGGACGGCATTGCTCAGTGGTTGAGTGTCAATCTATGAACCAAGAGGTCATGGTTCAATTCCCGTCAGGGCAGTAAAAAAAAAAAAAAAAGGAGAGAACCCATGGATTTTATGGGTGAAGGAAAACCTTCAAGTAGCACTTATTCTTCATTTGAATGTCAGAACATTGACACTGGGAAAGCCTCGTGGATATAGTAGAAATAAGCTTTGTTTGTAATTTCTGCCACGATGGCTTATCTATTCAGGAAAGAGCACAGGTAAAGAAAGAGAACTCCAGCATTATACTCGTTTTGGTACCTCAGCAATGAACCTCCCCTAGAAATGATTGTCCTGTCCAATGGAAGGCTCTAGTCATTGTTCCCATCATAAATATTAGACCCTTTGAAAAAAAATTGACTTAAAGATTTATATTTTGGAAAAATTGGATTCAGAGGCTGAATGGTATGTGTTCCTTACTATTAATATCTTATTCAATCTACAACTTCTCCAGGAAACACACTCAACTTTTTTGGTTTTGTTTTGATTCTCTTACCATCAGATTAGCTATTAGAAAGAGGAATTAAGTTTTTCAATTCAGTAGAAACTGTTGGCTAGTCACATCTTGAGGGAAGGGGAGTGGGACCTTAGGGGAATAAAGAACAGAGGCCAAATGGTGGACTTCTTTTGTTTTTCTATTATCCACTAAAATCAGGGCAGCTATGCCCATAGAACTGTGGTCCCACCCTGGCCAGTTTTGCTCAGTGGATGGAGCATGGGTCTGTGGACTGAAGGGTCCCAGGTTCGATTTTGATCAAAGGCACATGCCAGGGTTGTGGGCTCGGTCCCCAGTGTGAGGCATGGAGAAAGCAGCCAATCGGTGATTCTCTCTCATTGATGTTTCTATCTCTCCTTCTCCCTTCCTCTCTGAAATCAATAAAAATATATTTAAAAAAGAAAAGAAAAAAGAATTGTCATCCAAGCAATATGTATACTAATTCCCAGTTGCTCTGGAGCTAGATGTCCCCACAGGATAATGACATGTAGAATGAGTCTCAATTTGCATTGCAGCTGGATTTGAAAGTAAACAGTAATTAGGAGCAGGAAGGTCATGGTCTGGGTAGGAGTTGTGGGCAAAAGAAGATGGCATGGAAAAACGGTTTAACTTGAGTCTGTTTGCTAGAGAAAGGAAAAGAGCGTTTGGGCACTGCTGAAGTCCTGCTTCTACTGACTGCCTAGCGTACAATAAAGACCAAATTAAACTTGTTGATTGTGTTGTACACTGGTGTCCTGTCCAGATTCCTCTAGCCAAACTTCACACCTACCCACTAAACTGCCCAAAGTTTAGGCTGCCAAGTGCTCAAAGCTCTTCCCTTCTCCAAAGATTCTAGATTCTTGTCCTCGGATCGTGGGAGCTGCAGCATCCAGGAGTTAATCTGCCGTCCCCGCTCCAGCCAGTGCCTGACTGATATGGAGGTACAAAAGGTTGGTTCACTTGCCTAAAGCAGGGGAAACTATAATGTAATTTGTTTCCCAAGCCACTCTTTGTGGATCGGGCTAAGGCTAGACCTTGAGACTGTGTCCATGCTTGACTCTTGCCCTCTTGATCGGTTTCATTCCCTCTCACAAACATTTTTCCTGAAGAGCATACCCTTAACCACTCATGAGGTTCTGAATCCCTGTTTTAGGCTCTGTTTTAGGGAACCTGATTTAAGACATTTAATGCTGTGAGCTGTCCTAAGAGGTTGGCCACAGTGGAGGGTGTCCATGGGGCAATGAAGACTCCCTCACTGGTGGTGGGTGAAGTATTGGTAGTCCCTGGCATGTGGTGGTGGTTCAATTGTGAGATGTTAACTATGGTGAGCTGGGATGGCATACAGGTGGAAAAGGATGTACTGACTTGGGTAAACTTTGGTGAAAAAATAATAAAAGGATTATGGAATTCTTGCTGAAAGTCACTAATTTTTTTTTAAATATATATTTTATTGATTTTGTACAGAGAAGAAGGGAGATAGAGAGTTAGAAACATCGACGAGAGTCATCGATCAGCTGCCTCTTGCACACCCCCTACTGAGGATAGGCCCGCAACCAAGGCACATGCCCTTGACCGGAATCGAACCCGGGACCCTTCAGTCCCCAAGCCGACGCTCTATCCATTGAGCCAAACCGATCTCGGCTAAAAGTCACTAATTTTGCTTGGAAAGAGGAAATGACACACTTGGGACAAATAACCACTAACTTAATGCAAACTCTGTCAAAAGTCCTTCTCAGGAGCATTAAGGAGATTCTTGTCTCCTGCAAATAGTCACAAAGCTAAAGATCACATATGAGACTTGAGAATAATAACCAGTAAAGCTTGGTGTTAATATTTATTGAGCATTTAGCATAGTTTAAACATGCTAAATGCTTTTTGTGGATCATCTCAGTCTTCACAACATTATGAGGTTGTTTCACTTATTAGCATTCATTTTACAGTTGGGAAAAACAGGTTCAGAATAGTTCATTCATTCGCCTAAAAATCACACGGCCCTGCATGGCAAAATAGCATTTGAACCCAGATCACTTTTCTTTTTTTTCTTTTTTTTAAATATGGAATGCTTCACAAATTTGCATGTCATCCTTGTGCAGGGGCCATGCTAATCTTCTCTGTGTTGTTCCAATTTTAGTATATGTGCTGCCGAAGCAAGCACCTAGATCACTTTTCCTCCAAAAGCTAAGATCTTAAGCACTACACTATACTCTGTCTTATAAACATCAAATATTACAGAGTGGTGAAACTATTGTTCTCATCTGTGTGAAAAACATTTTTGATCAAATATATGATAAAATCATACAATTATAGAATCTTAGAATTGTAATGGGTCTCACGGGAGCATCAAATCCAGTGGAAGAATCCCCATTCAATTTGTAAGCATGTGCATGTAACAAGGCTTATATAATAACTGTTGAACTGGAGAAAGCATTTCCTGGCAACTGACTATCCAGTTTTTGCATGAAATCCTTTCAATGATGGGGAGTTCTTTGCCTTCTAAGGCAGCCTCTTCCATTTTAAACAGCTGATTTCCAGAAACTTGTTTCTGAGGTGGAAACTATGTTGATCTGTAGTCTTCTATCTTTTCTTGTTCCTTGTTGCAGAGAGGGAAAGGTAAGAGTTTTAAGATTTGAACTTTTGATTGAAAAAATATTTTGCTTCCATGCAGTCATCACATTTATCACATTCCTTACAAATTTCCAAAAGGAAAGGGAAAAACATTAAGGTCACATATTTTGTTTGCTCAAGTTTGGACAAGTTAGAGCAGGATTTGTTTGTTCAAGATGCTATTTCCTGATCCTTTCTAACATAAAATGTTAGAAAGTACCGAAGGCAAAAAGGAACTGAACAGTATAATATGCATTGCAATCACCTCAGTGAATAGGTGCTCCGAGCATAATGGTTGAATTTTTCAGAAATGTTTGCTAAGGTGCTCAGCCTGGGACTGAGTCTATCAAAAATTTGTGTTGATTTTACAAAGTAACAGCCTGGGGAGGGAAGGTCTGTAAGGGGGGGGGGGGGGAGGGGGGGCGGCAATGGTAAGATATGTACACAGCTAATATTTAATTTAAAAAATAAGGGGGAAAAAAGTAACAGCCAACTAAGTAAGGTCATTAGCTTGGGGTCCTTTCTCTGCACTTAAAACAATTAGAAACAGATATCAGGTGCTAGTTCTCAAAATCTGTGACTTGCACCTTTCCTCCAGGAGGCTAAGATCGCCCATCAGCTCCTTACTTCTTTCTCAGTGGTGAGGAGCTGCTTCTTAATCCACTTTCCACTACCCTGCCACAAATCCTTTCAGTACTCTCTGCACCAAGGCAAGCTCAGCTACCACAACTGAAAAACTAATGTCTAAAGTGATTTTTTTTTTCTAATTCAGAAAGTTCAGAAACTTAAAGGAAATGGTGAAATGTATATCTTTTCCTACGGCATCCAAATCACTTTTTTCACTAGGCTTCAAACACTCTTTAATTACCACCGTTAATGGTAATGGGTTTCATCCAAATCACTTTTTTCACTAGGCTTCAAACACTCTTTAATCACCACCGTTAATGGTAATGTGTTTCGGGGTGAGCAGATGATCTGCAAACACTTAGGAGGCTTAAACTTGTCCACCATTAAAACAACAACAACAACAAAAAACCTATGGAGCTCGGTAGCCTCAAAGGTCTTCCCCATTTTATACCTTGGGGTCCCGAGAAATCTAGGAAAAAAAGTTCTCATCAGAAGGACATGCACGTGGAATGGTTCCATGGGAAGCACAAAAATTAAACTAGGGTTATTTTTGCACTCCACCCCTTGGGGTGAACACCCAGGATGAGACTGCCTCTTCCCGGTCCCAAAACAGCTCATCCCAGACCGGAAACGAACATTTCTGCTTAGATCCAGGGCCGTGGAGATGGCGGCGCTTCCCACCACCGAGGCTGGGATGCGGGATAGGGACGTGGACGCTCCTCCACAGGGCGGTCGTGGGGTCGGATCACGCACGTCCCGTACACATCCACTTCGGTCCCGCCTGTCCTCCCCCGTCGGACCCACGTGAACCCCGGGACACTCTGGGGTTGCTGCTGGGATACAAAAGGGAGACGACTGGGGAAATCGAAAAGCAGCGGAAAATTGCCCCCAACCACCCTGCCCCCCAAACCCAGGCTTGTGCGTTTGCTTGTGTAGTCACAGAAGCCGGAAGCGCGTCAACATCCGCCTTCCGGGACTGGGCTGCGCTTCTGCTTCG